GAACAACCGTCACAATAAACGATGATGTAAGGTCTAATAAAATGCCCTAGTTGCTTACAAAACTATTCAACTTTGTTCTACTACAAAAGTCAAGATTATTTAATTTTCAAATGACATATACATATATTAGAGGTATTATTGTGATATAAAACAAATTCGATAACCGTTTTAACAGCACAGTTTTCGAGGGGTTTAATCAATTTTTGTTATAAAACAAGGGATGTTAGCGAGGTAGCTGGTGCAATATTTTTTTGTTACCACCTGCAGTTGTGCGGCAAAAACTATTCAATAAAATAAATCGTTTTTTGTAAACGATCGCTTATGATTGAAGGTGCTGTCGCTGATTTTAAACAAAGCACGACAGATAGAGGTAGCCATCAATATGCTAATACGTCGTTACATCTCTCGAGATGATTCCGTGGCTTTTTTGTGGTCGTGCCCAAATTGGTTTATTTGTTTTGTTGCCAGTGTATTTCTTTATAAGTGTAGTTTGTTTGGTTTGCGGAGGCGACCTCATGCCATATGGATGTGGATCGGAAATATTTTTTTCAGATCACATTAAAAATATTTGTAAATTATAGAGCAAGTAACACAATGTTATGAAATATGTCGCCAATGCGGTTAGCAGGATACTTTCCGGTGTGAATACATTACAAGCACTGACTGCTACATCCTGACCGGCCTTCATGTGTAATCGTACTCGTGTACTGAGTCGTCGCTGATTGGTAAAACAATGAGTGCTTGCGCGTGACCATCAATTGCTGGTTGCGCATGCGCGATTACTACTGCGAACGCCTGCATTCACCTGTGAGAACACACACACCGCTCATTCCGAGTCGGTCTATTACGTCGTAAGCTGCTGCTGTTTACGCGCTTAAAGGTTTTAGCGGGCGTAGTACATTATCTGTACGCACGTCAACCGCCTCTCGTGATGCTACATCATTAAGATAATTTACATATAATTATGTAGTTACAGAACGAGAATTACATTTATAGGTTTCAGAAATAATACGCACATAATTATAAAAAGTATGCATGCCCGTCTTTTATCGTTTTATTAATTCTTAGAAGATTATGTTGTAAAAAACAACCTTGTGCACTAAGAAGTTCACCGTTTTACTATAATTTAGTTGCAGATTGTAGATAATCGTGTGTTGATGATTTAGGAGCAGGATATAGAAGGTAAAATGTAAATGTTTGTGTACATATGTAGCGAGGAGTGAGTCCGAGCGCGAGATTCACACGGGCCGCTCTCACAGTCGGAGTGAACAATTTGACACTTCCAGGTGTATGATTTTTTATGTGGCCAGACAATGGCAGAGGTGTTTACCCAGGCCCACATCTGGGCAGACGAAAAAACCGGCCGGACTTCTCGTATGAGCGTTAATAAGCGCGGGTTAGACGCTCGAGGCTCGGAGATACACAACACAAGTATTGTACACACTCGAACACTGTTTTCCTTCGAGTTACTACGGACTGAAGTGCAGATGTCTCGAACAACGCCTCGTCTGTGAGTTAATGACTGTCTCCCGGTCCTCAACATTGAACTTGGGCGATAAAAAACTAATGAAATTAGCAGTAAAGATAACTAGCAGGCGAGAGGGGTAGGTTAGTGAGGACAACGTTAAACAGTCATCAGGACATTAAAGTTTACAGACGATGTCTGTCGGCTCCCGTGTGTGAGCTACTTCACTTGTCTGGGACCGGGTCCTGTCGGTCATTAAATGTTAGGTCGGTGCCTGAGTGGTGCTGGTCAGGGTTGCGTGTGAGCGGTCGCCGGTCGCGCTAAACTATCCGCATGTATCGGCGCGCGGCGGCGGCCGAGAACATTTCGAGTGCGGATGCTAGAGCGGATATGTCAGTTTCTTTGGCCGCTGTTAGCGCCTCCGTGCGGCAATTGGCAAGTTGTAACCGATTTACGACCCACTCTAAAGTTTATTCATCACGATTCTGGTGGTCCCATTGTGTTCCTTAAGTCCCTTCCCACCACGCCGCAGCTTAGCGCTCTCGAGAGGCCTTTTATGGCGGCCGTTTTTATAGGATCTTTATTTTCATTTGCATTCTCGTTTAAACTGTATCGTAAACAAAATTCCATAACATAAAACGTTTAAATAAAAAGTTTGACGCGGATCTTGATATCATTCGTCAAAATGTTAAATGGTTCGTGGTGGGTAATACATACAGTAGGCTAAGTACGGGCTGCTTAAGGAAATTACGATGTAGATAGTGCGTTTAGGCGGCAAATTTTTCATGATATTTTGCGCGTGGATCGTCACCTCTTTGTCGGCGCGCGGAGCTTTCAAACGGGCCGATAAGTGGACGGCGGCTGATAAGAGCCATCTTACGAACGGTAGCCGAGTGAAGGGATTTGTCAACGTACGGTCAACACGCGCACTCGATACCCAACAATATTGTGAACACATATTTGTGTTTGACTGTCTTCTGTCGAGCATGTTTGACGACATGCTCACATAAACAAACATGGGTCGAGTGCCTCAAATTGTTACCTGCTGAAGCAAACAGTTTTGGAAAAAATAACAGCTTATGTTAGATAGTCTATTGTTTAATATTCATATTTATAGAAAACTATTAATTAATGAAACAAATAGCCAATTTATCAATAGCTAGGAGTACAAGTACAAGTAGATCTTAATTCTTAGACACATAGTGATGAGTCGGATGATTTACAAATATTTCGTGAGTCGGTGACGCTGTGCCGGAGTGTGGGCAGATGCGTTGGTGGACGAACCACTTACAATATCCGAAGCACATTATATGTAAAATTTACGTTGTTCCAAACTTATTATAAGTTTATAATGATACATGTTTATATCTCAAACTTAGATATGTATGTCTACATTATGATTGTTAGGCGGAAACCGAACATTAAACAACGTTTAGCTTAAATTCTTAATCATAAACTTGACATTGAGTCACTGTATTGTCGCAATAGTGACGGAATAAAGAATATATTTTATGACAATATAATATACTCTACTATTTATCGTATATGGAGTGTGCCTGCCTACAAGAACATGGACTTTTAGTTTTAGGCTTCCTTATAGCTAAAAGTCACAAGTACAGCTGCGTTTGGGTAGTGGTCGCATACACGTAGCATGAAGATTTCAAAACGATTTCTTTAAACTACTTTAACCTATTGATAGGGTAATCTAGTTTCTATAGTTTCTAAAATCGTTTGATATTGACGGTGCTTGTTGTCCTGTCTGTACAGCTCACGTAAGGCGGTAGCGGCGATCGTAAAGTTTAAATGGAGGCTAATTTAGTTTGTTGTTAATTGAGCTTGTGTCGGCACGTTATCTCGGCCCTGCATTAGTGGCCGGCGCTGCGCCCCCGTCGCCGCCCGCTCTGATAACAGCTGTTATGACTGATGGCGTGCCTACGTGATACGCGAATCGGACAGGTTTCTTGTTGTGTCTGTATTGTTCATTAAAGGTATTACCGTCATCATAATACTAAGCTATACCTTTGATGAAATACAATTTTAAGCGTTCAAAGTTTGATAATGAGTATCGGTCTTGCTATAGGTACTCGTGTTTGTTGTACCACATCCATATTTGTATTTACTGAAAATGTGTAAGCAAGTCTTGAAGATATAAGTAACTTGCGTTTTGCACTCTCAGTAAATACTAGCTTTGAAAAGGAAAACTGAACCGAAGAGGTACGTTGAAAGAGTGTTAGACAATGGCTTGTATCGAGCACTAATAAAGATTTCCACACAACAGGTTACATCAGCTATCTAACTTTACTCATTACGAACACTTATTCAGTAACCAATAAACGACACTCATTCCGGAGAAGAATCTATTCAAAGGTGAATTTACACTTCCATCTAAATTAACCAGCCATTATTCCGAACACATCTGTCCACAGATTAGGAACCCGCGACCGCCGCGGTAGGCATAAATAGTTTCGTATAATTACATCGGGGAGCTCGGATCGAAGGACCGACCACGGCGATCGCCGATAAAGCCGGCGCCACACATATCAGGGTTTATGACACTGTTTATGGTCGAAACAAACGGGTGCCAAAAGGCCTCGTTGGTAACACATTTACCCCTATCACAGTTTTATAAACCTCTGATAACATTGAGAAGGAATGCGCATGAGTGCTACTGGAAGTCTCTCTTTAATTTCTGGTCCTAAAGGTCAAGCAAGTGAATACATTTAACAGCTCCACCTGTAAAATTGATTTATCATTTCAGAATGTTAGATAGTAACAGTAGCAATTACTTAACAGAAATTATCATACATACATATATGATGATATACATACATAGTCTGCCTCCCATGGGGATAAACAAAGGCTATGGCGACAGAAATTAAATCTTCTTTATTTTACTTTTTTGTGAATAGTCATATTCATCCCCAACAATATTTATTATTTGTGCAATTTATCAACATTACCTTCTTAATATTTAAAAATGCTCTCAGCCGATAGATGTATTTAGTTCTTTATCTTATAGGCAATACAAATATATGTATTTTCTTATCAATTTGTCAGGACCTAATAATTGCTTATTACGAAAGGTTTAATTGCGCGCATTAGTTATTCATGCCAATTGCTATCATTACGCTACATGTAAAACACGATATATCGATGTGATCAACATTCTGACACACAAATCAAACAGTTTGGCGTTTTCATTTAAATCTTATCCTGTGAATAACTAAATGGTATTTCTTTTAGTTTGGTTTAATGGTTTTATAACTTGATCTGCAGAGTGAATAGTTATTACATGCTGTCCTGGTATTAAATGCAGGTACTAGACACACTAGGTAACAGTATTCCTGTTAATGCCATCAAAACAAATATAGGATTTAAATTATGAAGTTATTTAGCCAGATCAGAAATATGTACTGACAATCACTTTCGTTATAAATGCGCTGGTTATTATTTGCGTTGCTTAATCTTTGTACAAACCCACATAGCATCTACATACATAATATTATTTAGTTCTAAACTCATCTTTTTATTTCAGGCGCATGTTCCCATCTCTCCGCATCTCGCTGGCTGGGCTGGACCCTCGCGAGGAGTACTGCGTGCTGCTAGAACTGTCCCTCGTTGGACGGCGGCGCTGGCGCTGGGCGGGCGGGGCTTGGGCAGCCGCTGGTGGCGCTGAGCCTCAATCCCCTAGGCGGCTCATGCTACACCCTGACTCCCCAGCTCCCGGACATCACTGGACTGCCAACCCAGTGTCCTTCAGCAAATTAAAACTTACTAATAATACTATGGACGCACAAGGACATGTAAGTAGCTTTATTTTTTAATATTTTCACGAATCCCGTTTGTCATAATCGTAATATCTATGATTTATTATTAACTATTGTCCTATCAATTATCTCTTTTGACTCTCTTTAGCCCGTATAAGGGCTCATTTTTTTTAAAGGTCCATTGAAAATAATTATGTACAACTTTTCATTCATCAGCAAAAAAATATTAATTATTGAGAATAGTTATTGGTTAGAATAAAAAGTAAGAACACAATAGGTAATTAGTATTTATAAAGTAAAACATGGTCTGTTACACATGACAGACAAATAAAAACAGTAAAATACGTACTAATGGAAATAAGTAGTCATGTATTATGCTTTTGTACTATGTATTATTAAAACACTAATAAATAAACGAACGTGTACAATATACAACATAATAAAAAGTCAACACAAGTAAATTAGCTCATACAATTTCTCAGATCGTGAGGGCAACAATATATTTTATTGCCAGCCACAAAAACTCTGTTTATACGTTATGATAGCTTAGTAATCGTGGGAAATCAATAACTAGAGTAATCAATTATCTATTGTATTGTAGGAGAACATGACTTTCTAACAATAATTGCCTTGCAACAGTTATTTTGCAGTAATTTGTCAAAGCAACAGTTGATGTGGCAACATTACAGTGTTCGCGTCGTCGTGAACGTTATAATTTAAATTGGTTCACTAGTTTTACTGACTTGCGGTAATATATAGACTTAGTGGAGTTATCAGTTATGTGGCAATTGGTTTTAGTTCTGATTGCGCAGTCATTACTACTATTTAAGGTTTCATATTGCAGTTTTCGTGAATGTGAAATGTGTTTCGGAAATGTAGTTATTTTTTTATGACCGGCATTAAGTTTGTTGCTTGCATAGTGAATACTGAATTCAGTGTCAATGTTAAACGAATAAAAATCAACGATCAACTTCAGTATCGCTTAATTTAGAAAGTACTTAGGAAAAAATGTTTAATTTTAATTCCGCTACGAAGCGTAGCATTTTTCGTAGCGCCATGAAAACCAGATATTTTTTATTTTAGTTTGCATTTCCGCAATGTAAACCAGTTTCTATTCTGTATATTTTCTTATTATTATTATTTTCCAACCAACAATGCTTCACTCCTGCATTGTTTTGTTCCAATATTGTGTCATTTCTTTCTATTATCGACAAGCTATGACAACTTCATTCACAAGAATGGCACATTGCTACGTGCTTTCAAATGATAAGAGGTGGTAGGTAAAGAGATAGAGGACGCAATTTGTCAGTAGTCCGGCAGTTAGCACCACGATAATGTTATCAGTAAAGTGACATCATCAGTCAGCAGTCACCCTCTAGATAACGCTGATGATTGGCAACTTCGGTATTCAGGAATGTGGCCTAATTACCTAAGATACTATTGTTTTGAAATATTTTGTTCGGAACATGAGTTAGTCACTTTCCTGTGTAGACTAAACAAAGAAATAAATCGATTACTTTTGTGCACATAATTGTGGTCTGAAAAGAACTTATTCAATGCCTTCACACAATAATCGCGCGACCAGCGACCTCACACAAAATCAATTTCACAAAGCAATTGTAAGCATTAATTGAAAGTCAATAAACAAAAAGTTGTTCAAACCAATAAAAGTATGGCGCAAACAGCAAACATTCTGTCTATTGTAACAAAAAGTTTCTATATTGAATACAGTTAAGTACAGCCTTCGCCGAACATTCCCGCGCTCGTGACTCTGCCTCATATATCGCCTTTTTGAAAGGAAACGCCTCTCGCGCAACCACGCCAACCACTTCCCATAAAAAGCTCAATAAAAACTATATTGAGCCTTATGTTTGTTGAAATAAGATTCGAATGCAAACAACCCGTTTTGCGATGACGTAAAAAAGATAGCTCTTTGCGATTTCTCATTCCAATTTAAGTCTTACGGCGTCGGTGTAAAGGTGAGTGTGGAGTTTATGTGCGGGAGTTCATACGCGCCGCGGGAGTCTGCATACAAAGACGTCTATAAGCATTTCGTCACTTGAACAAATACGCTGAAAGGCATTGTATGAAGGCTTTGTAGCGGCAACTAACTGTATCCCTTTATCCGGGCGGTGTGTTTGGACAGAGCGGTTGACGCCTCGATTAATGACGACTGTGACGCTTCGCCCTAGCTTTTATCATTTATACAATGTTTGCACTCACTGTTTGTAGAAACTGCCTCGAAACTTTACGACTGCAGCTCTAGATGCGTGTTTCATGTCGAACTCTTTAAATATTAAAGCTATAAACTTTATGATAAGTTTTATTCTAAAATTCCGAAAGACCATCTTAAGAAAAAAGGAGTAAAAAGGTTTTACTAAAATATCAATTAACCTGACCTACCTACATAAAGGCTGACTGTGTATCAAAACAAACATCGTTCATAGTTTACAGTCACGAAGCATCATAACACACATTATTATGACGGGTAGGGACGGCAAAAACTGTAGGCGGGTGCGCATGAGTGAACGCGTATGATGCACCGAGGTATTGGGATAGCGGGAGAGAGGAGCGGCGTCTTTGTGCACCCAGCCTAACAATACTGCAGCTACTGAGACCAGGAGCGAATCAATTCGCGTGGAAAATATCCTCGTGTACTGTGCACTTGAGGACTTACCACCTGTGATAAAAGCAGCCTCCATTATGCATTGTGTCCGCACCCTTTGTCGTTTATTTTTTAGCGAAAACTTTAGTCGACGCCGTGTGAAAGAGTCTCTTTAAAAAAGTCAATGTGAAAGGATTAGAAGCAGCCGATTTGTAAGCGCGCTCATTACTAACGTTGTTTAAAAGTTACGGATTAGACAGAGATTATTCTCATGTAATTAATGTAGTTCTAAGAACTATTCGAACCCGTAGAGCAATTGGGGGTAATAAGGTAATTAACTTGGGAGATATTTTATAGTGTTTACGTTAAATTTAAAGATTAGTAGTCGATCTTCTTCTCAATAAGACTAACATTTTAATTCACGGATCACGTTGTTTAACAGTTTAAATGCAACTATTTCTTGATTTCCTAGCTATCGAAATGAAGCCCATAATTCTTCCGTTCATCATCATCATAACATCACGCCTTTTATCCCCGAAGGGGTAGGCAGAGGTGCACATAACGGCACTTAATGCCACTGTACAATGTAATACCCACTTTTCACTATTTATGTTATGAGTCCCACCCATGTAATAGGGGGTGAGTCTATTGCCACATAATTCTTCCGTTCAGTTTAAAATTAATCCATTTTGTAAAGACAATAGAATATTGCAGAAACTTTAACTGATAAATATTAACTACGTACTGTTATATAAAGCTTTTAGTCAATTCAGAATTTATTTCAGTATGTTTAATGTTTTTACAGTATTAAAGACTTCATTGACTATGGAATTGTAGAAAGAAATAGATTTTAATATTATGACATGTAATTTTACAGACATAATGCCTTGACATGTATTTAAAAAAATAATTTGACATTTTGGAATCATTATTTTGACATTACGTATTAATTAATCAATGAAATTGAATTTATATTCTATATTATATAAAGTGCCTTATAAACAAACATTTGCATGCCTGGAAAAGGTGGAATACATTGTACTGTTGAAAATTAGACTAAGATCCATTGTATCACATGTTCCCTGCGAATAAATTTCTATTTCTATTTCTAAAATCTCCATTTTCTGAACTACATGGTGGCATTGAATCTAACATTTTTTTTTAACAAAGACTGCTAAACGTCAAAATGTGGCGCATTAAGTTTATCAGTACAAGGGATCGGGTTAGCGACGCGGAAAGTCGGGGTTTGAATCCCGGGTGGAACCTACCCTTATCTCCAACGTGTCGCGGGTTATGTTGTATTCTGCCGCTAATTACTGCTTACACGTGTTTCTGTTAGATTTGAGATAAAGGATGATGTCAGTGTTGTCTCCGTTTGATTCCCGACTAGTTTTGGATTGAGTAATGATACCGCACAAGATGTTCTTAACGACTCTTATGCAGATAAGAATTCTTTGCTTTTTGTTTAAGAGCTGTTCTGTAAAAGTCAATATGTTAATTTCGTTTCCATTGACGTGGTATATAACATAACATCACGCCTTTTATCCCCGAAGGTATAGTGCGTATTACGGCATTTAATATTACTGTACAATGTAACACCAACTTTTCACTATTTATGTTATAAGTCCCATGTAATAGGGAGTGAGCCTATTGCCATATAGGTACCGAGCACAATTCCAATATCCGTGAAGTAAGTAGTACCTGTATATAAAATATTATTATATTTGGTAAGGTATGATATCTTATAATAAAGTATATGACTTGACTTTCCACGATAACGCATCCACATGTGTAGTAGATCCACATCTACGAGAGCGAATTAGTACACAACAATAAACTTAATTTTATTTGTAAACTTAGTTAATATAATAGTGAATACATCAGACTAAACCATCATTCAGTTTAATTGAAACCTTACCATAAACGTTTTATTTAATTCTTAAAAAATGTACCGTTCACTAAAATGATATCTTACTTGATTTCAATAATTTATAGACGATGTTTATCCGTCTTGTGGCCGCGGGCTTTATTTAAAATGTTTATTCGTGTGTAATAAAGTTCTTAGTGCCGCCCATAGCTAGATATAATCACTAGTTCATTACTCATACTAAACACACAACTGCGTGTGGTTTATATGCCATTTTTTATTTAAAAATATTGTAGCGATCATTGATTATTGATTACGTTTAGTTTTAAACTAGCTGTTTCAAGGTGGTCTTAAACTCATATGTAGATTTCTATAAATCGGTGTTTAAACTTCATCATAATTTGTCTTGGTAACTTAAAAAAATAGACCTAGATGTTTTGTATTGCACAATACAATAGGACATAAGTACATACATACATACATAACATCACGCCTTTTATCCCCGAAGGGGTAGGCAGAGGTGTACATTATGCCATTGTACAATGTAACACCCACTTTTCACTATTTATGTTATGAGTCCCATGTAATAGGGGGTGAGCCCATTGCCATATACCGTGCACAATTCCAGACTCCGTGCTACTACTGGGAATTTTTGAAAAACCCAGTAATACTTTGCCCGACCCGGGAATCGAACCCGAGACCCCTTGCCTGGCAGTCGCACTTGCGACCACTCGGACAATGAGGCAGTCAGACAATAGGACAATCATCGCAAATTGAGTGTTGGTCTACGAAGGCGGTTTCAACCTTTGTTTTTTTTTGTGAGATGCGGATCAAAGAACAACTAACGTACCTATTAAAGCTTTAAACAGTGTTAACGCAACACTTTATCGCTTTAATCAATATCCTATCACCTCACATGATCACATTCCCTCGGATTGGTCGCAAAAAACTACGAATTGAAGGCTACGCTGCAATCTGAAGGCTGTATCTTTTTGATTGAACACACGTCACTATGATCGACGAGCTTCCGAACGCGGCGAGCTCTTTGTCTGTATGTCTGTCTGTCAGTCTGTCCGGACTTGTGACATTGTGGGAATGTACCGAATAGGGTCTCTCGTCAAGTTGTTACTATTTAATTTAATGAAACATACCTACTTGTTGTTTCACATACCTACAGCTACAGTATCGTAGCATTGATATGCATTCGCTAAAGTAAATTATTCCATTGTTGCAAAATCAAACCACAAAATGACTTCATGCAATATTTCAATAAACAAAACTATAAAACCACTACAATATATACTTATACAATAACTACAAAGCAAAACCAATAAACTTTCATTTTCCGTTATTGTTCGTCATAAATAAGAGAAAAACAAACCTATACTAAGTGGCAACTGTTTAACTGAATCAGACTTTAACTTCAAGCCACTTGAAACAAATTAATCTTTAAAAAAATCTTTAGACAATAGTAGAGAAACCCTTCTACGTTTGAAGTGGTTGCAGTCGGCGCCCGCGCAATGCCCAGGTAGCGGTATTCGCGTCAAGTGGCAGATAAGATGCTTTACACAAGGGCGACCCAAGACGCGACACGACGCGACAATCGTGTCGCCAGTCACAGTTAGACCGTCCCATGTTTGTCCTACGAGAAATGAGATTAGTTTTTAAAGTTTTAGCAAGTCTTTTGAGGATTTTTTTTGCGTATTTAAATTGATATTTTCGAATACCATAGCAGTCCTAGGAGAGATTATTATACGTACTACGTCATGAAAATAGCAAGAATAAGATGCTGTTGAGATAACATTAATTATGTCGATGCTCATAGGAACCGAAATTGCGACATGTTGCGTTAAGCATAGACCTATACATGCACATGTTCGTAATAACTAGAGCAGGCTCATAACCAATAATTCTAAAGCAAACATGTTAATGGTGGGGCCAGTTTTGCGATCGCCATTTCATTACTATTTAAATTCATGATTACTCGTTTATATTTTAACCTTTTACAAAAAAGTATTTAACAGAAACTTTAATGAATAAGGTGATTTAATGAACGGTCTTTGGTGTATTTTGAAACTTTGAACCAACTCTCAATTATACGTAGTCCACCATTGACCGTCAATTTTCGTTTCAAAACATTCTTTAAGTTTAAACCTCGATTCATAAATAAGACTGAATGCATACGCAGAGGCTGGCTCTTTATCACCAACTATTTAAAATTGTTCATCTATTTAAAATGATTAAGAGCATTAGCTAATATTCTTTCGTCTTTCCAGATGGTATTGACCTCGATGCACAAGTACCGCCCGCGGGTACTGGTGGTGCGCGCGCGTGATGCTGCTGCACTCGCTTGGGGAGCACCCCACGCCTCATTCTCATTCCCTGAGACGGAGTTCATTGCTGTCACCGCTTATCAGGTTTGTACTCAAATTATCAATATCTATTAACTTTATGTAGACAGTCTCATAAGATTTGAAAGAAAGTTTAAAAGAGATTAAGACGAATATTAGAGTCATAGTAACGGGAAATCACTAGGGGTAACTTTTTCTCAGTATAATATACTGTCTGCTTTTTGATTAAATCTATCACAAAGATATTAAGGGAATCTCCTCCCGTGATACGATCACACCTCTCTGATTCCAAGAATACGTACTACGGTTCTACGAAACCCCACGATTCGCACATACGGACACAAGTCGGCATTTTTTTTCTCGTTGCACTAGGCGCCAAAGCTTTTACGAAAATCGAACATAAGTTGGTGCCAGTTACATCGACAAAAAATAAGATTGCAACGGGCGGCCATTGTGTAAGGACTCTTAACGAAACAATACCGACTAATTTAATGTTTTTGTTCGAGCGGCATTTGTGAAGCATTGTGAACGGTTCCGTGACTCTTAGAAGCGTATCAACTGTACTACAGTTAGGTTCTGAAGAAGCTGCAATAAACTGAAGCGGTAAAACAGTCGCGCGTTGTCATAGCACAATTAGGGAGACAATAGAGTCAACAATATTTACAAAACGGCTCATTGTGTATAAAGTCACACGACTGGATTAGATTACATTTACATTCACTGAGCTCCCAGGCTGAATGCGCATTGCGTGACTAACTTAGCTATGCATTTAAAAGCGCCTCCCTTCGCATCTGCCTCGGCAATAAAGTTACTGTACCTACACGTTAATTCCATTTATTAAACCTGGCCCGGGGCTCTTATAAAGTACCGAGACACAGCCCCCCGCTGTTTGTTATCCCAAACTAACTACTGGCTTTCGCGTTCATTGCAGCGTGGCCATCCCTTGCATAATCCCCAGTCGTAATTAACCAGCGGCTTTCTTTGCCCTGCGGCGTCCTTCATGTTGACTGCAACGAGGCGCGAAAGTTTTCTCGCGTCCATTTCATCGGAAGCTTTGTAGGATTATCCGACAATTGTCCGGCTAACGGGACCCTCTCACCGACAATGGCCGGCGGTGTATCATTGCACATTATCCTCCGACAGGCGACCGCTCGACGACTAGACCATTGTTGCGAATTATCAGCGAATTACAAATCGTTTTTAGAATTGCCGCCCCTTTATTCGAGAGCGTAACTAGGTGGCACACCAGTTCAATTACAACAACACAATGCCGTTATGCTCGGCCGATTCTATACCGCACCATCATCGCTCCGGACTGTCAGCGCATGTTTGCAGGTCCACCCGATAAATTATGGGTCTATCTGCTAGATAAATAAAGCAAATTTACTCAGACCCTAATTACACAGATCTAAAAAACTGGCGACAGTCGCCAATATGTGAAATAGTCACGCAAAAAGTAAAAGCGACGGCAAGTTTGTTTGGTGACGTCACGGGCGACAGGGCGGACCGGGGGCGGCGCCTGACTACACTCAAGCATCACGTCTTGCTAACCGACCGACTTAAAAAGTGCACTTTGCTCCGCTAATAACAGGCTTTTAGCACTCTCCGATGTTTCGGAGGGGTTGCGGTTATCTAGTGGTGCAGCTAGCACGGCTCCCGCCGGCGCCGCCTTATCACGCCGAGTAAACAATCGGTACAAGTGACTCCGCGTATCTCAAATTTACTATTTGCGTTCAGGATTTCGCCAGATAATTTCGACTTTCGATTGCAAACACATTTTCGGGTAGACGCGAAAAAAAATCATGTAGAATTTCGAAGGTCCTATTCAATTAGGAAACGTCGCGATGGTTCAATATTATGAAGTTCTAACTGTCATCGTCACTTATGTAGGGCACATCGGTTCTAGTATCAAATATCACATTACGGTGGTGTTTAGTATGTTTGCCGCTAGTGTAACATGCGCAGGCGCCTACTAGAGCAATTCGTCCGTAACAGTCGCGCGACGGGCGGGCGACGTCGCGGCGACACGCGAACATGCCATGCTAATTGGCTTGTCGCCAGGTCCACGCCACATGTGCAACAATTATCCCTTACGAGCTATTAGCGCCGCCGGGATGTATGCGGAAACGGATGTTTAAATGGCATTCTCCAAATGAGATAAGGAGATTTCCGTGTGACATGTCAACCACGAAATTTAGATACGAACAGATAACTGAGACTCCTCCCAGTTACACGACACAAGCTAGGTCTATTAATTTATGAATCATGTAACTAACAGAATTTTTTGTTTGTCCACAGAATGACCGCATAACAAAATTGAAAATAGATAACAACCCGTTCGCTAAGGGCTTCAGAGCGTGTGGCCAGTCTAAATGCAAGAGAAAGAATCCAGACTCTGGCAGCGAAGGTAACCCAGAGCCGAGCACGGAGCCCACTGATGCCAAGAGACCTTGTTCTGATGCCGCGTCCTCTTGCTCTGAGGAGGGCAGCTTACGCTCCTCATCGCCGAGGTCGCCGCCTTTAGTAGAATCCCCTGCTCCGCTCGTCACACCTCCAGAAAATATTACTCCACCACCAGCCGCGTTCTACCCTCCAGAGTTACCGTACCTAGGACCGCTACATATGCCGATGCCCTTAGGTCTCTGGCCTAGCAGTCCTTTGGCTAGCGGTTTCTCGTGGGGCCCCGCACTGCCGCCGCCCCTACCGGCGGCGCCTTCACCCCCTGCCGCGCCGGCGCCCTGCAGACGGGTAAAAAGCTTCACGATTAGCGCTCTACTCGGAGAAGGATGATTTCATATTTACACATTTCTACTGGACAATAAATGACTAAGAAGTTTAAGTATCTACAAAAATTTTGTTTGTTCCTTCGCGAACGGTACATCTTGTACTTATGTAACTTTGCGCCTTGTAACCATATGATAAGGTACTTAAATTAAAATTGTATAAAGACGTTAACGCGACAGGGATATTCGCAATACCTACTTACCATATAAATTAATGTAAATATTTTATAGAAACATAGTTTTATTTTAATGTTTATTGAATAAAATTTATATGCCTACCTCGTTATGATAAGTAGTTAATGTTAATTATTGTATTGTGATAGCAGTGCCTTAAGTTTGTATAAATGTATGTTAAATATTAAAGTAATTTAATTAAGTAGTCAATATTATCCTAATATAGGTAGTCAATGGAACCTTTATTACCTTATTGGTACTTGGTAGTTGGACCTTAGGGAGGTAGGGTGAATGGACCGCGGGTATGGAACTAACTCACTTCAATAAAAGTGCAGTAATGACGTTACGTACAAAATGTCTGGGTTCGTACCTATGTATGTCATGTAATGTGCGTGCAATCGTGCATGTGCACTTGTGCAGGCAATAAAGTTTAAACCTATGTAAATCTACTTAATCTAGTGTTTGTAAACTTATTATTTTAGACTTGTTACTTAATTTTATGTGAATTCTCTCCTACTTATATTGTTCTTAAAGTGCTATACTGTGAGGCTTGCCTTCAGTTTATATTCTTTTGGGTTGGCGAAACAAATGTCGGTTGAAGATTTCGCATCCATGACTTATGCCTTATGTATCTGTCACTTATGTAAACTATTGTAAATATTGTAAATAATATCAGTCACCGATTAAGCAATTACAATATATTTTTTATATTTGACTTAATTTTGAATTATTATTTTCTGTATGAACCCATTTTTTATCTACCTACCATCGTCGTCATATCCTACCCTGAAATTAGTGAATATAATAAAAAAACTAAAGTTATATTACAAACTTCTTTATTACTACAGAACTGCACTATCTCTGTACTACCTTAAAGATGCTAAAATAATTTCAAGCGTCTATAATCATTCTTTCATAGTTTTGTACGTACCTACTAAATGACAATTAAGTACCCAATGTTAAGTTAATAATTAGTACCTACATAATTATGTAGGATTTATACAAATAGATGCACCGGAGACCCGTATGGGGAGGTGCCACTAAAAGTAAACTTACAGAACTAGAAAGAGCTCAGAGGTTAATTATAAAGGTGATGTATTTCAAACCTTATAGATATGCAACTGAAGATCTATATAAGCTTAGTGGTTTGTTAAGTGTAAGAAAATTGTACATTCTGAACGTGACTTTAAATCTGCATAAAGCTCTGCCATACAGTAAACCCCAACAAGACAGAAGGCGAGGAGGTATCGTGGTGCACACTTCTAAAGTCCGAACAACTCTTGCTAAGAGACAGTATGTGACGCAGGCATCTTATATCTACAATAAAATAAACGCAAAAATCAAAATTTATCCCAGACTTCTTAGTGAATGTAAGAGGTTATTAACGGAATGGTTAAAAACTTTGTCGTACGAAGACACTGAGAACATTTTGATTAGAATTCAATAACAAACATACAAACACCATACAAACAGATACATACACGCATACATACATACATTCATACATACATACATAAACTCACTCACTAACTCACTCACTCACTCACTCACTCTCTTTCTCACACACACACACACGCACATCGATTCATACATCTACTCTCACAAAAAGAAAAAATACAAATCAATTGCTTTTAACATGTCGTACCGTTCTACCATAGTTTTTTTTTTTATATTTGTAACTTTTTATTTCTTATTTTACTATATCTACTTTAATTTTTGTTGTTTTCCTTTAATTAGCAGATCTCGAGGTTATTATTCTTAAGAGTGTTAAATAAATAAAGAAAGGATCGAGTCAGTCCCAACACAAGTATTGTATAATAACTTACTGGGACTGCCTCAATGTTAGACAGATAGTGTAGTTCTTAAGATAATAAAGAATTTTGAATTTGAATTTGAGGTGCATACCTAAATTATAAACAAATGACCGGAGACCTTTCAAATCACATCAACAGCCCATTTTTTTTTTTCAAGAGGGGAAAATCATCGAATGACTGCTCCCGCCTGGGTGAGGCGGGAGGGAGTGTCAGACTCTTACTGACTAAAAACCAACCCGTTCCTTCTCCTGCACATCGAGCCGGAGCCCCGGTTACCCGTTAGGTTCTCCGCGACTCCGAATCGGCATCGGCCCTATTGGGCCCCATCTGAGGTGGTCTGATGGCTCTTTGAGGCGCGCGCGGAACGCGACGCGCCGTCCGCTCGGGTCTGTTTCTGGTCGGACGGGGAGCCACCCATGCTTGCCGTCCGCAGGCCCGCATCAACAGCCCATAAGTGGCCACGGCTGACCAAAGGCTTTTTCTCACACGGAAAAGGTTTGAGCATCAATCACCACGCTTGCTCAATGCAGGTTGGCGATTTCGGACTTATAATTAGAAATTATAATTCCAGGCTTCCTTTCGATGTTTTCCTTCACCGTTGTCAGTGTCTAACTAATCTTAGAAAGTACCTACCTACATGTAACTCGGAAAATTCACATTGGTACTTGCCGTTGGTAGGTTTCAGAGACCTTTACTGAGATAAATATTGCCGCGTATCACCAACACCATTCACCACATAGAGATTGCTTTGTTATTAGAATTTCCCTATTAATAAATTGGTTTGGCATAAATTAATTGAAAATAAAAGAAATATGACGGGTAGGAGTAGGTTGACTGCTGACTAAAACGTTTAAAATAAAATAAGCCTTTATTGCTGTAGTTACAACAAACAAAAACAAAAATTTACTAGTAACCAAAGTTGTAACACAAAGGTAAGAAATAAAGCAAACTTAAAAACTACTTTCACATAATCTCAGCAATTGGTCTCTCCACTTACAACAGCTTCTCTTTCAACAAAGGTCGCCTCTAAGGATTTCCACTTATTTCTGTCCGTTGCTTCAAGTCGTTTTTCCATCTTTAATGCTGTCTTCCTCTATTTCATCTGCTGTCTCTAGGGTACCATTCCGTGTTATTATTCTGGTCCTCTCTATTCTCTCTCTCCTCTCTCAGCATATATCCTGTCCAACGCCATTTTAGCGTTTTATATACTGATAGGATTTTTCCGAAATTAGTATTTCCTTTTAAATCTTTAAGTTGTATCTTAAGAAGCAAAGATCTTCTTACTCCCAATACACTTCTCTCAATTCCATTTAGACATACCTTTAATTTATTAGCCCAAGTTTGGCATCTATATATAAGAGAGATGGCAATAGACAAATATTGAAGACTTTTCGTTTCTGTGTCATAGGCATTTCTTTGTTTTTCATTATTTCGCTTAGTGACCAGAATATTTTTCCACGTATTCTTCTTTCAATTTCCTTCTTCATACACTTTGTCAGTAACATTAACTGTCCTAAATAAATGTGTTCACTAACATATTCCAGCTGCTGATTGTCAGTTATAATAGGAGGTTTTTGTAGGGAATTGCGCATTATTTTTGTTTTTCAGATGTTTATTGTGAGGCCTGCATTAAAGCTTTCGTCTGACAATTGCTGTAGCATTTCTCCCAGGGTCTTGAGGCATTCAGAAAAAATTATCAGATCGTCAGCGAATCTCAAATGGCTCAGTTTTTCTCGGTTCACGTTAGGGCCGATATATTCCCAGTCAGTCAAATCTCCTGAAAATCAACTCTAACATAGCTGAGAATATCTTCGGCGAGATCGGGTCTCCTTGAAGTACCTACGCCTCTTTCTATCGGGAACTCTTCCCCTGACCAATCTGTGTGTTTTATTTGTGCTCTGCTTTTCCATACATGATTTTTGAGATGCGTAGGTATGTACCTATGTACTTTTTATGGAGCCCTTCTTGTTCTAACAATTCCCATATGTAGTGGTGTTCCAAGGAGTCTAACGTCTTATAAAAGTTCACAAAACCCAAGTAATGCTAAAGGCTAAAACGTTTAATAAACGTAAATATAGAACAGCTAGAACAATAAAGCAATGGGTAGGTACTTTTCTAATTTTAATAATTTCAGTCTTTAATTTGGTAGGTTAGGTAGATAGGTACTTAGTTAATCGTTGTACGGTTGGCGCAGTGGTCGATTCCCTCACGGAACTCATAATTTGTGTAATCCATAAATTATTTTTGTTCTGGGTGTGGATATGTCTAGATGTGTTTTTATTGTGTGTGTGAAATTACGTGTTTGTAAACGCATCCACGACACAGGAAATCCAAGTTGAGGACGTAGATTTTTATAAGGTTTCACAGTTTAACTAAACCTAACTGTAGTTTGCCATATTTTTTTTGTTTTAAAAAACATTGTCCCACATTAGGATTTTCTCCTGTGTCGTGGCCGTGGGTGCGTTTACAAACAGACAAGTTTAGGTACTTACATACACAATGACAACCAGACCCGAAACAACAATTTGTGGATCACACAAAGTGTTGTTCCGTGCGGGAATCGAACCCGCGACACGTTGCACCTTGCACGGAAGCCAGTTGCCCAGCCACCGCACCTACCGTGCAGTCGACTTATACCACCCAGCACCCAGCTATCGGATTATAACGTATGTCACATAATGTAGCTGTGATACGAAGTTTGTAGCCCTTTACCTACCAATAGCAATTATATCGCACCCTCAAAGTAAAATGAGTTAATGCCATCTAATTATTTTAGGATTTTTAAATAGTCAGTTTCTAAAAAGGTTTTACTTTAAAGGTGCGATATGTATCTCAACCCTTGAGAAATATTTCGCTATCTTACAGAGGTAACTTCATTGACAATAAGACATTTTAGTGAAGCAGCGCCATCTATTGGGTAACAGAAGAACCAGTAAGGGTCTCAGCTCAGCTAACGGAGCGCAGCAACAAGCGTGCGTGCCTGAGCCCAACTGGATGAAACAGCTGGCAGTTTATCTAATCCTGATAATGTCCTTCATAGTATTGATTATAATATTACTGTCATGTAATGTCAAAATATTGACATTGATATCAGGCACACCCTACATAAAATAAAAATAGTTTTTAGGGTAAAATAAAAGAGCTGCAATTTATAATTTTGATATATTGAATTTACAGATTACATACACACTGAAGAAGTTACAACACATTATGTACAACAAATGCTCTAGCAAAGTTTGAACCAATAACAGCATTTTAAAATTGTTTGCCATAGCAAAAGTAATAACATTAATTTGTGATTGATACAAAAATATTGAACTTCTATTGTAATTAGAAGAACATTATTTATTTTGTGTGTCAGATAAACTATAAAACCTACATTACAAGAAAATACATCCAGATAGTTAAAGTGGAATTGTTTTATCCTTATATTTTTAGACACCAATCACCCTGGCGAATGTTACTCCTATCCTGCTACTAAGTTTTGAAGCTCAGAACTCAATTCGTTAGCATCAATGTTGACTTTAGCATTGTTGGTGGGTGCGGGGGCACTAGACTCTCTGTTACAAGCCTTCTTGTGCACAAACCAGTGCAAACGCTGGCACTCCCTGTCACAATACTGCACAGATTTACACTTGGAACACTTCTTGGCTGGCTTCTCTTCCCCACAAGTGCTACAGTATGGGATGGCGTCCACAAACCCTCTCTGACCATTGATAGTGCAGTTGATCACAGACAGAGCGGGTGGAGGGTCTTTACTAGTGAGGGAACTCACCATCTGGTGGAAAGTTGTACATTCTCTAAAAGGAAACTCTCGCACACAATCTTTTAAGAATGTATCCATTAAGTCCAAGGACACACCATCCTTGCCGGGTTTCAACAGTTTCTTAGAGAACACTTCAACAACATCGTGTTTCTTCTCCTCCTTGTCGGCATTTGGCTTCTTATCCCTAATATTATGAATTTCTCTAAGTACATAGGCCAAATAATGATATTTAAATGCCATCACTTCGTTAGTATCACCTCCTCTTGTCATCTCTTTCTTGCACAAAAGCTCCAGTGTTTTAATAACTTTGTCAGCATTGTCTAGTAAGGTAGGTATGTGTTGTAGATTGAGTGCCAGTCGCACTGGGTGGATGTTTACACCAAGCACAAACTTATGAAGAGGGTCAACTAAGGAGGCAGGTAGGTAAGGTTCTGCTTGCTGTCCTTGTAAAGCAGTAAAGTATGCAACTTCGGTGCGCGGCACGTAGTTGTTGATGGTCGCGACAGTGTGGTGGTTACCAACAAACGCAGCCATCTGCGAGGCAGTGCGCCCAACAGAGTTAGTAGCAGTCGACTTCGCGCCCGCGTCCAGGAGCAGCTTGCAAACCTCCGAGCTCCCAGACAGGGCGCCAAAGTGTAGAGCCGTGTAGTTGTACTCATGCTTTCCAGAATTAACATCGGCTCCCTGGAAAAACCGATTGAAAAATAAATTTTGGTAACAAAACAATTAACGTGTGCCAAAATTGTTAGAGAAAGCTACATACCCTGTCGAGTAACAATTGAACCATATCCTTGTTGCCCTTATAAGCGGCGTGTTGCAAAGCAGTCATACCATTTTCGTCAAAGAAATCGACGGTTCCTTTGTGTTGGGCCAAAATATTCTTGAATTCCACTAAATCATTTTGAGCTATAGCATCAAATATAGTTTTTTCAGCACCTGGCTTTTCTTCCGTTTTACCTTCCATATCGATTTTTTGGAAAACTTTTAATAAATTGAACGAAAGATGCTACCAGAAGCAAACAACCTCTAAAGTGGTCCGTCAATGTCAAAGTCACTTTGACAGTTGTGGAATAGAGATGTGCCAAATGGGGCTACACCCGAACAGTGTTGCATTACAAAAAAAAACTTTTAGTCGATTTCGAAATAAAATAATTAAATGTAAGTAACATAACATAACGCCTTTTATCCCCGAAGGGGTAGGCAGAGGTGCACACAGAAGGAACATCCAATTTTCACTATTTATGTTATGAGTCCCGTGTAATAGGGGGTGAGATTTCTGGAAAAAGCCCAGTAACACTTTGCCCGCGCCGGGAATCGAACCCGAGACCCTTTTGCCCGGTAGTAGCACTTGTCACCACTCGGCCATCGAGGCAGCATAACGTTATGTAACGCTTTTGTGTGTAAACTATATCTTTATACTATTTCATTAAGGATTTCTTTAATTTCCGGATTTTTTTATGGTATAGGAGGCAAACGAGCATATTGATCACCTGATGGTAAGCGATCAGCGCCGCCCATGGACACCCACAACACCAGAGGAGTCACGGGATATCAGCTTTTGTGCCTATCAAAACATTATATTATATTGGTTGTTGCTACTAGCCAACCCTGCCTCGTTGGCCGAGTGGTCGCAAGTGCGACTGCCGGGCAAGGGGTCTCGGGTTCGATTCCCGGGACGGGCAAAGTACTACTGGGTTTTTAAAAATCTCAGTAGTAGCACGGAGTCTAGTAATGTGCCCGGTATATGGCAATAGGCTCACCCCCTATTACATGGGACTCGTAACATAAATAGTGAAAAGTGGGTGTTTCACTGTACAGTGGCATTAAGTGCCGTAATGTGCACCTCTGCCTACCCCTTCGGGGATAAAAAGGCGTGATGTTATGTTATATAAAAAGGGCCATTGCTTAACAGTAGGTTCTTTTAGGCTGTTGATGATGCTGGTACTAATGACACGTAAAGCTGTACTTCACCTAACCAGCTTTATAACTGCCAAAACTTACACTTTTAATATAAGCTAATATTCTATTAATCAATATACCATACGCCATATAGGTACTATTTCGACTATAGTGTTTTTGGTAGATACAAATTGAAATAAAAGGGATTGAAAATATAACAATGAAAGTCGAATTTAGTAAGTATAAATTTATTCTAACAATCAATAGTCATAATGGCTGGTATGACTACTGATGTAACATCAACAACTATAATACGAGTACATATTTATTACATCAATGATAACTGAGATACATTTAACTTTATCTAAAATTCTAAACAGTGAGTTGCCTACTGCCTAATAAACTAGTCTAAATGCTAGTGAAAGCGTGATTATAAGTATTGCATATCTGATTGGAATAAGTATTCTTAATACGAATAATATTTATAGAAGTTGTAAACATTTTGATTACGAACATCGAGAGAATGAAAGCGGAGATTCTATAAACTACACATCGAGTAAGCTGAAGTGTAGCGCCTGTGGAGCGTATCACATTCCTAACGTAATGGAAGATCCATTGATATCCAATCCATTTACTTCAAAAATCATTATACCATTCATCAGTCCGCATTGCCCAGGACGGAGTGACGAATAGTAATTAAAATAAGTAAACTTGGTAAACAAAATACATGAAACACATTATTAAAACAATGGAGCACGTATACATTGATTCTAAACCACAACATTTAGATTTAAAATGGAGATTATATATGTAATAATATATTATTGATCTAGAAAGACTGATTGCACTAATTTTAAACTCTACTACAACGTAAATAATATCATGTGGGTACATGAACTTCCAGTTCTAATCTATATTCATAATTTTAAGTATTACGATTGATTATAATAATCATTTTATTGTTTCTATTATCTACACAGCATTTCATTTTCCTTAATTACTAAGAGTATATCACTAGTCTTCATTATAATATTTAAACATTGAATATAGTTTGCTATTAGAATAGGTACTTATTGGCGCTAAATTATATTGCGCTAGAAAGACGATTTAAACTGTCTATGTACTACATAATATTATATCATTTAAATCTCAGTACTACAAATACTACTTCTTATTGTTAATAAACAGCCACATATTTCACTTACATCTTAAAATAAATAAAATTCTTACATTTATTAATGCTACCATACACGTTTTGAGTCAAAGATATACAATATTTCATAATTTTAAGTATAAAGTACAGTATAATACGATTAAATGGATTAGGTAAGCTCAATTATATGAATAGGCGATTAGTAAGTATCTATTGATTGGCCTATTGCGCAACCCTACTGCAAATTTTTATGATTACCAGGTTAAAAAAATTCTACGGGTATATTTTCTAAGTGTGGACACACTAAAGACCTAACTGGGATTTTTCGAGGATGTAGGTAGAAGGGTTCAAAAGACACGTTTTTATTGTAATTGTAAAACTAACACTGAGTTCTCTTTCAAGAAACATTTTTCATAATAGTAATTGTTCCAGCGTCAACCTTTATGCTTGATGGGTCTATATATCTAAACTACAGCTAAAAACATCGACGGTTTGCTGAATAGTCGGTTAAACTTACAGGCGTATTAGATCACGCGAAAAATAGCCTAGACTAAAACTATTTCTACTTTATTTATTGAAAGATATAACCTTAAAATTACGTAAATATGAGTAAATATAGACATCAAAATAATTATTTCTCGTTATTTTTTAAATAGGTAATAGGTACACCTACTCGTAAACAGGGTATATAGAAATTTCAATAAATACAGAATATATACTGGTATTATAATACCTATCCATTAATAAGATAAATCTAATACAATTTTGCTCAATGACCTGCCTAAGAACTAGTTTTTTTCTACAAAGCGAGAATTCAAGTTTTGGTCTACAAGAACCACTAGGTAAATCTTTACTACTACACAGGGGTTGATTATATATAAATATTACCTTTATTTAATTACAGCCCTTCACTACTTACCCTTTCGACTCCACCTTCAAAACTTACCACCGTCAATCTTAACCTAAGAAATAATAAGTCTTACTCATGTCACATCGTTGAAAAAAGGCAAAATATAAACTCGGGGAAGCGATAATCTTGGAGTAACAAACATGGACACCGACAGTCCCACAATTAAATACACCCTTGAGGAGCATAGACGAATGGCCATCTTTGCAATAACGAAAGAAGAAAGTCTAAATGACGAATCACACAGACATAATATGGAGGTCTACTATACTCTAATCTGTCAAATTTTTGTCGATATTTTGACAAACTAAAAAGGGATTCTCCTTCCAATTCCTTCCTTCGTGCAGATGAAGCTTCGTTAAAGTCAAAGATGGCCATTAGCCTAAGCCCCCAGTTCGCTTCTGTTCGGTACGTAACGCCTATACTCTATACGTAGTAGACGTCGAAGGAGAGCTGTGCTCAGACGAGCGCGGGTGGCGGTGCGGCGGGGGGAGTGGTCGGAGGGGGGGACGTCGGAGTCACCACGGCTGAGGCCAGTCTCACGCCACCACTCTCTGATACCACGACCCCATTATGGACCGTGCCGTTGCCTTCTGTGTCAGCATACGGAGTAGTCAGGAGACGCAAACGCTAGAATGAAATGGTGAATTAAGTAACCGAAAACTACATAGTTATACACACATACAAATAATCTTCATATTTATTATTGATCCTTTTCGATAAATCGCAGTAGGATTGTTCCAAATGAAAAGAAGGAAGTCTGACTTACTCCGATATAATGTTATTCGAAAACATTGGGGAGAGTGTAACCTTCGGGAATCAAAAAGGCATGATGTCACGCCTTTTTGATACCGATATGAGCTATAATTCTGTTAAAAACTACTTGTAGCAGGACTACGCGGCTGACCACGTCGTAGGTTCTACGGCGTAGCGCTGTAGCGTAGTTCTACAGCGTAGCACTGTGGCGTAGCCACGCAGCGTAGTTTTTATTTAACAATTCCAATATGTTTTAATTAATTACTAAAAACAAGCTAATAATGGTATGAGTTTTCGTCGTACCTCAACAAAAGTTCCTTTCGCAGTAATCAGCTTGTAGATTGCCACAGTCGGAATGCACATGACACTTGAGCCAGCTATGGCCCACCCAAGTGCATTAGCCCATCCAGGGTACACGTAATCCTCGTATCTCAGCGGTTCATAGTCCAGAAGTCCGTAAGCAGTGATAAAGAGAAGGAAGGCCGGGGCGGCGAAACGCCAGCAGACGCGCCAGTATAGACCGGGACGGAAACCGATCATATCGCGGATATCCTCGCAAAAACGCTCCGTACCTGGTAAAGTGAAAGTATTAGGTAGAGGTCTTTGAGTTCAGTAGTTTAAAAAATGATGTATTTATTATTCATAATAAGTTAACCATTTGTATCATCATCCTGTTTTCGTCCTTTTTGCTTTCCAATATCACCACCACTGAGCTCTGCTAGCTCTTCTTATCTAATTACTGCCAGCCATACCGCGGTCATTCCAATTAGATTTTTGAAATACTTTAGTTGAGAAATGAATACATTGTTAAGCTCACCATAAATCCAAGATACAGCAATAGCTTCGAAGAACACAGCAACTAAGATGGAGTATCCAGCAGCGTATCTATCAAGCAGTTGGAAGAAGTAGAAGCCGCCCTTGGTGCAGGAAGCTAGGCCCACGAAGAAGTAAAGAGTGAAGAGACACGCCACGAAGATCTCACGATGACGACCGATTGGAGGGAACTCGTCACTGAGTGCTGTTATTATTGCCTCGGAGCCGCCGAACTGGGATGGAGAAAAAGAATAATATTTAAGAGGAATGAAACTTAATTGGGAAGAACTTAAAGTGATAAAATAATAAAGAACTTACAGAGCTATCCAAACCAAGAGTGAGAAGCATCATAAAGAAGATTAAAGCCCAGAAGGTGGATCCAGGCATGGTTGCAATAGCTGCCGGGTAGACCACGAACACAAGTCCTGGTCCTTCGGTGGCCACATCCTGCACATCTCTGCCTGAAGCATGGGCCATGTACCCTAGTACACTGAAGATCACGAAGCCGGCTATGAACGATGTTGCTGAGTTGATCACGCTTGTCAGTATGGCGTCCCTAGAAGAAATTAACATATGCGTACAGAAAGACCACGCTATACAACCTTATAGGATGGTCAACATTAGTGTTCCGTTAAAGTAATGCGGTCAAGAAATATCTTAGAAATAAGAAATCATTTACTAATAACAAAATAGCTCTAGGCGCAGTACTCACTTGTATACGTTGTTATGGTACTTATTGTACGATGCATAAGCCAACAGCACTCCGAAACCAGGTCCCAAAGAGAAGAAAACTTGTGTTGCTGCATCTACCCATACCTTCAATGAAGACAATTTCAAATCCATTACTGTCTACAAACAAAAAATTAAAAATAAAGAAATACCTGTAATACCTGAGGTTGAGAAATAGCTTCGAAGTTAGGACTGAGGTAATACTGAATACCGGTTGCGGAGCCAGGTAGGGTTATGCCTCGGACCAAGAGAATTAAAAGTACTGCGTATGGAAAAAGAGCTGTAAACCAAACCACCTGAAAGAAAAAAATGGTTAATTACATGAAAATCACGATCGTTTTGGTATCATAATGTCTCGGACCCACATCAGACAAACAAAAAACTTACTTTCCCAGAAGTGCTGATGCCCTTCCAAAGAGAGAAGTAGCAGATGATATAGACTGCCAGCAAGCAGAGAGCCATGTCCCATTTTATTGCGCCTAGGTCGTGGAGTCCTTCACTTCCTTGCAGTTCCAGAATGGCACGACTAGAATAATAAAACCATGTAATTTTTTTTAAATCCAAAGAAGTTAGAATATAGTTTTGAAGTGCCAACTTACTTGAAATACTCAGAAGCAGCTGACGTAAATGGAGTTGTTGGAGGTGGTGCTATGGATCCTGATGAGCTGTTATTACGGAGCCGAGTTCTGTTCGAAGCTTCCCAGATTGCTTCAAACTGCATAATCGGAAATAAATACTTTAAGTAAGCAGCCATTAAAGCTGTGAATTGTTAACAAAATAAAAAACTACGCAAACTTACCGGTCGGCAAGCTGGTGTATTCCACTCGTTGTCACAGTTGGTCCAGGGAAGCATGGTGGTAAAGGAAGCAAAGAAGAAGCGCAACGCCCACGCGATGATGACATTGTAGTAGAAGTCCACGTAAAATGCTATCAGAACTACCGCATACCCGATACCTAAGGATAAATTATCAACTCTAAACTAAAGAAAATCTCACGATGCAGAGTTGTAATTTACAACTCTGCATCGTGAGATTTTCTATGAAGCTATTGTTTTACAACTTGTAAAACAATAGCTTCAATAAAATAATTTTGCACTTCTCCGACCGTTCTCAATTCATTCCATCAAAAAATACTTTCAGTGAAAGCGGATTTTCCACCTTTCCGGACCATTACCAATTTTATTTCTCTTCAAAAATCATATCGTGGTGGGAGCCACTCAGGGCGCGAGACGTGACAATCGCGTGAAATGAAATCAACGGGCATAAGCCGGCCTCGCAAATCTACCGGAGCCTTTTGAGACCGTATGGGACGAGCACTTAAGGGGAGCCCCGAGAATGGTGTCAATTATGGGTGTTAAGTGCGGGGGCGACGTCCGACTAGACCGCGATCTTGTAAATGACATGTCCCATGTTTTGCATAAAAAGTCTTGAAGTCGGGTGGATTGTTTATCGGTGCGTATGATTGATGGTCCTTAAGTCACGAAACACATTACATATAGGTTTTGGGTTTACATTACCCAATCTTTTAGAACGAAGACAACACATCACTAGTACCTATGTACTAAATGGTTGAATTGGCAACAAAGGAGATCGGAAAATGTGTAGAAAATCTTTTACATTCGTTACAACGTCTGCATAGAATAATATATAATACTCTTAAACTAAAGTTAGTATTCGTTGTACCTAAAATCTTCCTGAAATAGCAAACTTTTCACATACGAGGAAATGCATTGCTGCATGAAGTTAAGTGGTGCGAACTATAACTCTTGTTCGCCAAATGTGAGGTCTACCATACCGATGACATTAGCCGTCGGAACGTGACCGGTCGGCAATAAATCTGGCGTATGACTCGAACGTGACCCCATAAAACTGAGTCAAGTAAAGAGAAATCGTACCAATTCAAAATTAAAACCACTTCATCTTTATAAGCTTGGTGAGAGAGGACATGTGGTTGGTATAGTGCTTGTGTTATTAATGTCTTCTGATCACGCGGAACCATGATAGTTTTATGTCATATTTTTATCATCGCATCTTCAATAAGTCACAGACTGGCTTCATACGACAATAATGCACACACCTAATTTTTGCTGTAAGGACCACAATTTTTTAAAGTCTATCTTTTTAAAAACCTAAGACTTACCTTTAAAAAGTGGTACCAATCTCCCCCAGCAGGTGATGGCGCCCTTCCGATGGAACTGGCCCAGCGCCAGCTCCATGTAGAACAGCGGGATACCGCCCACCACCAGCATGATGCAGTACGGCACCAGAAAAGCGCCTGGTTAAAAAGAAAACGATGTGGCTTATGTAGTCATAGACTAGTGTCTAGGTTAGTAAATATCCTAAGGTAGATTTGGGTTCGTATACCCTACTCTATACAAAATAAGTCCAAATTCGGTATAGCTATCTATAGATAAGTTATTAAGACTGACCTTAAAGCGTTAAGTTACATTTAGCATCGAAAGATTAAATAAACAATAATAAATCGATCGTTATTACGATTTACTTACGCGATATACATACGTAGGTACCTAGATGAGCATATGTAGGTACTTATGCTCATAACTTTTCTCTTGTTATATAGTAGATACCTACCTACTAAAAGAAGAGAGTTAAAATGTCTAAAGAGTAAGCATTACTAAATATTAACCCATTTTAACATTTTCTATTATACAAACAACTAAAAATCTATTGTTCCACGAATCTCAACTGAGTACGTAATGTTTCAATAATAACGTACATTTTTCAGTCGATTTCCCCCGAAGAGTAGGTACCGTCGGAATCTTGGCAATACTGTAGCAATAATTTGATATCGGCCCCGGGAGAGAGGCGACGCAAATTGTTCTGTAATTGGCCTTTTAAGGCTTTCGCATTTACTTCCAATACGCTTTTATGAAACTTGAGATGTTCAAGGCATTCCAGCTCATTTATGTAGATTAATTATACGTAGTAAGTACCTACTCGAAATATATGTGTTGGTAATGAAATAAATTAGCTTTTACAGGTGAGCGTTCTGCCATTTTATTTATAGACTCGCAATAGCCTAGAAATATTTTCGTAATTTCACCAACATTCATATACACAAAGGAAAATTCATATAAGGCAGATTTTTATACTACGCGAATCGTATTGATGGCGATGTTAAAAGTAAACTCTTCAAAAGGGAAAAATAGTTCGTAAGATTAATTTATAATTTCTTAGCTATTATAAAATCAGACTTTCTTTAGAAAATGCGTTTGAGTTCTTCGAAACAAATCTGTAAATGAGGTCAGGATGAACCGAGTCTTGCACGAGTGACGACGCACGGCTTCCAAGTAAACAGTAATGAATAACAACGACAATTGCTAAATGACGAACATCCGACATCGTTAGACTATAATTGAGTATTACGAGGGATCCCACACGAACATAATTTTAATGCTTCTGTTTTAGCTAAAAATATAGAAAATCTGCGAAGCCGTTCTACTGAAGATATTACTTTTGTAATATTTGTACCTACACTTGCAGATTGTAGTTAGTTGTTGGAATGTGAAGAGAAAAGAACACGAAGTTGTGGTTGAAGAAGTTACATTAATGATAGTTACACACAAGTTCGTCAATATTGACTATTCCTTTCTTTTAAGTAGCTAGTTTGTGTTATAGATGACAAATGCACTAGTACGTGTGTGTAGCAACTGTGTGTAAATAATTAGGCAAAAATTACACGCAGTCGTGCCGACTGCAGTATCATCAAAAGGCATGTACAGTTGAAGACCATACAACATTATTATGAATAATTTTCCTTTTGATCTTATTTATACTATATGATGATTGAAATATGTTGAGTATAAATAGAGTTGCTCAAACAGAGCGGGCAATCGTTACCACTTCAATAACAATATGGACACTAATGTGACATTAAGTACCTAGTCAAATAGTATTTCCTTCACAACAAATAATTGGGTTTCTCCGTCTCTCTTTCAAAATTTTAACTCAGACACTGAAGATAAAAGTTATATCTTACCACTCGATTTGCTTTAAATTACACCACGAACAATTTTGAAGATCGAAGACGTGTTCCAAAGACAATGAAAGTCGCAAAGAAGGTAATAGTTATAAGTACTTTTACAGAGCAACACGTCTCACTGTCTTACCACCTCATTGTGGGTGGCAGGGAGAAATATGGCAAGGATTTACTTTATTGCCGGATGCAACAGGTCGCGGATAAGAGGGGAATGGAGGACATTCCGACCAAGTTTCTGTAAGTCGACGACGCCGGGGAGAAGTGGCTTCGGAGAATGTTCCGTGTCTCTTAAGTGAGGGGATAATGGGGCTTTTATGGAATAGTGCGGCTTTATGCCATGATAGGGTGATTTAATTTTAACTGTTGCGCTGCAAGTGTAAGGAAATGTTTTAGGTACCTACTAGTATTTTTGTATTTTGTTTTTTCAATATTATTGTAGTATTTTTTTAAAGATTTTATTGTTGTTTTCTGTTTGTAGTTAATATAAGCAACATTTCGGATCATTTCCCCATGATTGTGTAATAACACATGAGATATATAGTAGACCATTGAAAGCACAATCCATTAACCTTTTGAGCGCCAATGTCACATATACGCGACAAGCGAAAACTGTCCCTGGACGTCAACGACACAAATACATGACAGAAAAAGCGGAACCAGAAACACGAATTATTGGAATCCCTATTGTTGATACAATAGGGATTCCAATAATTCCTATTTCTTTCGTAGAAATTTGCGTGGAATTTGTGGCTTGGTGTCGAAGGCAGGTTCATGTGTTTTTGCTCTGGCGTTCAAAAGGTTAAACCTCGGTAGAAGTTAAACGATTTAACACTTTATAGTTTTGTTATATTAAATCTTCCAACGGATAGCATAAAGCCAAGAAAGGACAATCAATTTCAGTATTAACTTCCGTTTAAAATCGCAACAATGAAAAAACCTAATCGGCTCAAGACTTATTTAATTTAGAGTTACATTTTCTTCGAATCTGTTACGATGGTAAGGTGCGTAATCGAATCGCCTTAGTTCCGAGAGAGGTCCCCGCGGACCCAAGCCCGGATGATTGGGTATTACGAGATTACCGGCGAACAGCCGATACAGCTCCATTAAATCATCTACACCGTAAGCTTGAATTGTTTCCAACTGAAATGTTGATTTATAGACGGCTACTGTGATTTCAATTAACTGTTCGAAGTAGAATTCTTGTAAGATTTTATTAAATTCTAAGCTAGTAGTTAAGTAATGCTAGTACCTACTGTACCTAGTTAGTTTATGAATCCCAAAAACGTCTCATTAAGCAAAGTTATTTGAAGATCTCAAATCAGGATATTAAAAATCTCGACTAATGGAATAAGGTACGTGCTTATCAATACATTTCGAAACATTTTTAAATTTTTGTCGTCATCACAGAATATGTACTAAAGAATGTAACAGCACAGTAGGTACAACATTTAATCTACTTGATTTGCAATGATGAAAAGGAATAAGCCTTTCCATAATGGTAAGCTTGATTAGTCGTACTTCACACTTCGTAATCAAGTACCAAGTAAGTATATTCACCTATTCACTGGATGCTATGAATTATCAAATGAGGTATTCAAAGTACCTCATCTGATATTTTAGCTTACTTAAGTAAATAATTTTCACCCGGTATACAGCAATCAAACAATACAATAAGCTATAATGCCATATCATAAAATTATTACAGTGTTGGAGGAAGTATACTTGTACAGCTGACGTCAGATATGATGGATAGCGAGGGTCAAATGATGAAGTGGTGCCCCAATCAATTAGTACGGAACCACTGCTATGACCGAACGTTGCCATAAATCAGGCTCGACTCTGAAGGGTTAGTTAGATCGGCTGAGAAATAGTGTAGATGGTCAAATTATATCTACGTTGCATCATAAGTAAGGTGTTTTGATTTTCATAAGAACATTATAGGGAAGTGTTACAAGGTAGGTTGTTATTTGGGAAGCTTCTGTAAAAGAAAGGCTGTAAGTTTGTAAGTCATTCAAAGTTACTGCTCTTAAAATTGGTTGAATACATGCTCGACTTGTTAGACTTATTTCTACAAGCTCAAGTATTGTGAAAGAAAGATCGTTTGCTGCAATAACAGAAGAATTCACGGTTTTTCGATACGTTCGAGTTAGGGTTCAGGGTCACAAATATTGACCTTCTTGATTATTTATCTAATCTAATAATCTGCACTTTATGGTCATCGTATAATACTCAAAGTCGACCGTATTGGTACAAGAAAGTTCATACTGAAAGCTGAACATTGCAAGATATAGGAACACAGATTACTTAAACAGGACTGCATCTATTTTCAATATCTCATCGGGCGTTCTAAATAAATTTCCTCTTAGGTCGGACGGCTCAAAGACAAGATCACATTTCAACAGTTCACGAGAATTGCCATTTAATTAGATCACGGACAGACGCGGCCCGATCGGCCTTTGCGTTGCGAGAGAGGATGGAGGATGACCTCCCCTCTCCATTATCTTATTACCCTCTCCCATTATTACGTTACTAATTTTCCTGCACATCGAGGAGCTAACGAAGTTTTCCCGGCGTAAAGGGCGCGTTTTGATTGTCAATTACTGACTCTTGGACGGCAAAGGGTGGCGACGGACGATCAAAGCATCGACAGTGCCAGCAACGGATGCAATTAACTATGTGGCAGAAACTTTGTTATAAGCGACCGTGTTTTCAATATATTCTCTATGGTTTTAGAATAAGGTCAGCTCAATGTCTTTTATTTTTAAGATGCGATCTTATTTACAAACTAAATAAAAAGGGCAGTTAATAAGTTTCATTTACAGTATTAGAATTGAAGCTGATTGATTGTTAAGAAAAATCTAAAACGAGGTTGTTTTTGTTGTGTCTGGTAAACGAACCATTAAATTATAAAATAACCCAAGGAAAACAAACATCCAAACACCAATAACATTTAAACAGCATGCAAACACATCTCATTTGCGTGTTTCCGGGCCTTTGCTTGTCCGGCCTCTAGCTTGAGGCATTTCATTTCCGTTACAGGCTACACAGGCAAAGACGCGCAATCTGTGGAATCTTCCGAAGTACGAAGCCTGGCCATATCGCGTCTTGTCACTTGCAGTGTTCTGTTCCAACTAAGACAACGTAGTTTTGTAGTTAAATATTGAAAAAGTATTCTGCATACTAAATATTTGCATTAAGACGAGTGAATTTTCAAAATTTTGTCCAGTGTTTTGTGGCTTTTTGCGCTATACACTTAAAAAATACTATGATAGGAAACCAAGAGCTTAGTACATAACAAACAAAAGCGCGTATCATTTCTTTTTAAATTATTCAGTTGTGTCAAAAAATCTCAGAAACACTGTGAAAACACACTCGAAGTAGTATTCCATTTTCTCTGACTAGTCAACACAGACTATGGTACGTATTTGAGTGCATAACACTATTACATGAACACTTGACTCGCACACTAGCGAATGTGAAGCCTTCAATTAGCAAGCCGCAGGTGTAAGCGTAGTGCAGGCCACTCGACGCGCATGAGGCGAGGCGAGGCACAAGGCGTACGATTGTTAACCGCCTATTATGCCTCAAGTGTCCTACAGTCGGCGTTAGCGCGCAATCACACAGTAAGATCTGAATACATCATTTGAACTGTATCTGAGAGAAAATTCACAAATTGTAAAGTCAGAATAATGTAATAAAGACTAATTTTGCAGTGTCATCAATAGTTTTTATAATGTATGTTTAGTTTGAAAACTACACACACATACAGACTCCTTATTACATAATTATGTTTTAGTTGGAATCAATACAAACTGTGCTTGAAGTGATGTGAATTGTAAAATTTAATGTTGACGGACAAGTTTTATGGGAATTTCAACCATCATCACTATCAAGATATAGATGTTACACAATCGGAAATGATTATGATCTAGTATGCAGTCAGAATGTTTATGACGTGACGGAAGCCGTCGGCGTCGTCGAGACGAGAGGCGGACAATTAGCGACGCAAGAGGCACTTAATGCCATTCAAGGCACAACCGCGCCACTCTAGACACCGACACCGCGTGTTCTAGCTAGTCTAGAATGGATAATTAGGCTAATTGATTATGGAGCTGCGGTCAAAATACAGCTTCATGAGCTGCTTATAACTGTATGATAAAATATCTGATGCTATATCAATGATCAAAGGTTTTCTGGAACATGTTGCAAAAATACGCGCTTTCCTCGTGAAAGATTGGTTAAACTCGCTATTAACTCGTTAAGTACCGTCATTATAGACACAATTATAGAACAATAGGTTGCGGTCACCGGTGACCGGTGTTTGACAGTTTAACTATAGGTTGGTAATCTTATTTTTTCATCAACGACCAATTTAATAATTCCAACCGCGAACAGAACCCGAAACCGGTCTCGGCAACCAAGCTTGCAACCACTACAAATAATAGGCAGTCTCTTTCTGGAATGTCATTGTCATTGGAGATAAATAGAAGACTGCACGGTTGGTGCGGTGGCTGGGCAACCGGCTGCCGTGCAACGTGGCGCGGGTTCGATTCGCGCACGGAACAACACTTTGTGTGATCCATAAATTGTTGTTTCGGGTCTGGGTGTCACGTGTATGTGAACTTGTATGTATGTAAACGCGCCCGCGACACAGGAGATAATCCTAGGGTAAGGCAACGTTTTTTTTTAAAAGAAAAAAAAAAGATGTACTTACCGCCGCCATTCTTGTAGCAGAGGTAAGGGAAGCGCCACACGTTGGCGAGGTCGACGGCGAACCCGATGACGGACAGCAGGAAGTCCACCTTCTTGCCCCATGTCTCGCGCTCGCCGACGCCCGGCGTAGGCGTCTTCAGCGCCATCCTACTGCCCAACCACAGGAATCCGACACACCCTGTAACCAAAAAAATTATGTAGAATTTGGTTTTCACTAGAAATTGTAATGCAACAGCTGTGATCATTAGTTAGTTATGCCTATGCCATAATTGTTGGGCTGCAAAAAGAAGTAATGGAAACTATCTTCGTCTGAAAGTTTCACGTCATTATGGGAACATTTAAACTTGAAAATACTTGTCAGATTAAAATGTGGATTCCTAACGGTAGTTTCCAAGTTCTATTCTTGCTATAATTATCATCATATCAGGCAATAGAGATAAGATGTCACAAGACATCTACTGCTAGATATCGGCTCGATAACCTCTTCGCTGTGCGAATCTGGTAAACTTTAGCTCTGACGTTGGTCAGTGAAAAAAGAAAGCTATTTCATAATACCCAACGGCAATTCTTATAAATCAAATCCAAACACGTTAAAACAACAAGCGGACCAAACTACACCACTTGACCTTTTATTTGAGTGTTAATTAACTGGCCAGAAATACCGCGAGAGCGTGGCCCTCCATTACGCCGGGACATAATGAAGTGACAAATGTTATGACGCGCCGCGTGACAGAGGGCACCACTTCACGCGGCACGCTGACCGCTGACCGCGCTTTGTCACAGGGTTGGCGCAATTTTAACTCCAAAGCTTTGATTTCTTTTCTTTTCTTTCCTTAGTTATGTTAGCTTATGGAGTTAAATATTCCTAATAGCGAAACATAAAATATAACATAACATTACCCTTTTTATCCCCGAAGGGGAAGGCAGAGGTAATATACATTATGCCACTGTACAATGTAACACTCACTTTTCACTATTTATGTTATGTCCCATGTAATAGGGGGTGAGCCTATTGCCATATACCGGGCACAATTCTAGACTCCGTGCTACTACTGAGTATTTTTTATTTTTTTAAACCCAATAATAATTTGCCCGACCCGGGAATCGAACCTAAGGGGTCTCAGGCCCGGCCCGGTACTTGCGACCACTCGGCCAACGAGACAGGCATAATATTTTTTCTAAAATAAATGGTTCCAAACATGAGACCCGAATCAACCTTTATTACCTAAGATGAAGCATGCCTGCCTAATTCGTCAGTGCTAACGTAGTACAATTTAAATGATTTTAAAAGCAGTTTAATAAACTCGTTGTTAAATTTCAGTTGCGCCAACCCTACGGTAAGCTCTCTATCCGGTATTCCCGAGTGGCTGTCACGTCCAGCTAGAGGCGCTCCGATTAACCGATGGTCGATTTAGCAACGAAAAATCATATGTCATAGCTACAGCGCACCACTAGTCGACAAATTGAATTTCGAACACGACAGATATTCATTATGATGTTTTCGAGTAGTACCGAATGCATTTTTAAGTGGTGCGAGTTTAATTTAAGGCGAGTTTTGTGTTCAATTTACTGGTGATGATGTGAATAACACCGTGCTATATGTAGAAATATTAAAAGTAAATATGGAATAAAATATCTTGATAAACCTTACGAGCCACCATAACATTCAAATGGTTTCTGTTGTTATAGTTGATCTAATCACAGGCCGCCTCTTCACTTTGTACCTTCCTTCGCCGGATCATGAGCTATTTTGACCATATAACGAGACGCTGCAGCCAAGAGGTTAACTAGGAACTCATTGTCATGCGGAATATTGAGGGGAGAAGGGCAAGAGGACGATCCCCAACCAGATAATCTGATCACCTTAAGGACAACCCAACATCGAGGTCCAATACCACAATGCAAATGGCCGCAGACAAGAGCCGACGGATATCGGAATGATCGCGATCCTCAGTTATGAGGGAACCGGAGAGAGTTTATCTAAAAAACCAGAAGCATGTCACAAATGCGTGGCCAACCACGTAGGAAACAGTTAAACATATTTAATTACGTTATGATTTTCGGTGAAACAGATTGAGCATACAACTCCCATTTACAAAACGAAACAACATTGCGTATTTCGTGACAAAATTGTACTACCCCGATTGAGCCGCCTATTCAGGCTATAGAAATTCAGCTAGGCTCCTCGTAGAGCTCTACCACTGACCACTGACCAATCATATAACTCAAAAAGTTAATGAAAAACGTATGTATTCTGAGTGTTCTGTTCCGAGACGTATGTAGGTCTAAACTAGTTAAACGGACAGAATAGAGTCTTAACACTATGCTCCGATACTTATGAGGTTTAAAATTGAATCGGATTGGTAAATTGAGTTGCCCAACTGAAAAACCACTGTACAAATGCAGGGAAACCATATTTGCGTTTCTTCAAGTAGATAAAAGAAGAAAGAAAGGCAGGATTTTAGCATAGCCGCCGACGGCTTTTTTTATTATTTAGGGACAAGCCCGCCATAACCTCCCTTAACCGCTACAACTCCTGTAAGCCAGGATCTACAGTAGATAGAACAATTACACAACATACAACATTACTGCAGGAGACAGAATGAATTAAACCTAAAGGCATAAAAAAGGGACTGTAAAACTAAGTGAAGTCGCCAAGCACCACGGAAATTTGACTAAAACTTAAGTGGGTCCTATGTGTGAGCTGTTATACTTGCTTCCAATAATAAGTATGGCAATATGGCAAAAGCGCTTAAACGCACAGAAATTTGTACTAGAGGTAGATTTCACAAGGTCCGTATAAGCTACATCCGACGAAACAATTAAATGATGTATTTAACATAGTGTTACGTTCATATTGCCAGAGATCACACTCCCAGAGTATGTTATGAACTGCTCGTATTGCAAGAGTCTGACACTCCCTCCCACCAAACCCAAGGCAGAAGAAGTCTTTGGATGATTTCCCCCCTCAAAAAAAGGGTTTTAGCGAGGTGGTATACTAACAGTACAGAACCAGTAGAATACGGCCTCTTATTATTTGTATAATGAACGTATAAATCCGTGAGAAATGGTCAGCATTTTCACCACGCTTGCTCAAAACGAATTGGCTATTTTAAACTTTTTATTTTCGTTCAGGTTCCCTGACGATGTTTGCCTTCACCGTATGTCACGAATGGGCCGGTTCGACCGGAGTCATAACACGGCCTCACAGAAAACCGACGTGAAACAACGCTTGCGTTGTGTTTCGTAGTGTGAGTGAGGTTACCGAAGGCCCAATTACCACTGTCCCACACTCTTCTCCAATATCTTAATGCCCAACAATCCTCAAATTCCTAATTCGCAAAAGGCCGATAACGCACTTGTGTTCCGGGTGCGCCTTTTGCTTACCATCAGGTGATCTGTCTGCTTGTTTACCAGCTTATAATATAAAAAATCTTTGAATCGATTTAGGTTTTTGACAGAAATACAATAGAACGAAGTTATAAAATTATTTCAACAGTTTATAGTGCTGTCTTTCTGCCAGCTAATGATACAGTACATCAATAATTTATGAAAGGTTGCTTCGCATCTTGTTCTATTTGTTATTCAAATAGAAAGTTCTCTTTTCTCTAAATACATAATGTGATTTTTTTTAAAGTCGGCAACCTAGGATGGATCGTATTTAATACGGATGACCGCTACGCACTACGTTGACGACTACGCCGTAACCTCTGTGGCGTAGTATAGTTGTAATATGTTCCTGTATGATGCGATTAATTTGTATTGTATTGTAACAAATGATCATCAATATAATTTGAAAATGAACATATGTTTTAAGAAAATCCGGTCATTATTTATGATTTTTTTGTTAATATTCAACTCTCTTTTACAACTTTACTTGCTATATTTTTATTCTGTATTTTTTTATATTGCTTGCTAGAAATCTCGACATAAGGATTTATATGATAAAATTATTAATCGAATAGCTAGCGACAGCGACATCATTATTATTTAATAATTAACACCTGGTTGGGCAACCGGCTGCTGCGCTGTATCGCCGATTTGATTCCCGCGCGGAACTATTCTTTGTTTTCAGAGAACAAAGATACTTGTATTTTTTGTGTCCACCAAAACCAGTGGTTGTAATACCTATGTATGTATGTATGTACATTTTTTGTAAAGTAAACGCTTCCGCGATAAATAACGATACAAGAGAAAATGCTTAAAAGAAAATCCTATTGCTAAAAAAAGAACGTGTAAGGTATCACGCTTTTTATTTCCTGAAGGATTGGTAAGTGGAAGTAGAGCCTAGAGGGTGCACCTTTCGCGAGCTATTTCACAAATCCGACGTATACCACCGTATATTGGGCTCGCTGCCATCGCAGCGGTAAGTCCCCTCTTTGAGGAGTGGCTTGAGAGACGCTACGGCGTCCTCACCTACCGCCTGACGCAGGTCCTCACCGGACATGGCAGTTTCGGGAGGTACCTGTGTCTGATGGGGCGGGAGGAAACGCCCGGGTGTCATCACTGCGAGGACCGCCCTGAGGACACGGTGGAACACACGGTGGGAGAATGCCCTTCGTGGGCTGAGCACCGCCGTGTCCTCAGGGAAGTGATCGGCGATGGCGACCTCTCGCGTCCGGGCCTAGTGCAGGCCATGATGCGGAGCGAGGGGGATTGGGATGCCATCTCCTCCTTTTGCGAAGCAGTCATGCTAGCTAAGGAGGAGGCGGGACGCGTGAGGCAGCGAAGCGCTGCCTCCTCGCAACCCAGCCATCGCGAAGGACACACCGGGCGTCGGGGATCGCGGGACGATCTCCGGCCACCGTAAGCGCGGGCCTGCGGACGGCGAGCATGGGTGGCTCCCCGTCCGACCAGAAACAGACCCGAGCGTACGGCGCGTCGCGTTCCGCGCGCGCCTCAAAGAACCATCAGACCACCACAGATGGGGCCCAACAGGGCCGATGCCGATTCGGAGTCGCGGAGAACCTAACGGGTAACCGGGGCTCCGGCTCGACGTGCAGGAGAAGGAACGGGGTGGTTTTTAGTCAGTAAGAGTCTGACACTCCCTCCCGCCTCACCCAGACGGGAGCAGTCATTCGATGATTTTCCCCCCTTAAAAAAAAAAAATACCACCGTATATGGCCGCGGTCTACTTGTTTTATTGAGAATTTTCGAAAATAGAGAATCTCAAGAAACTGACTTTTAGATAACTTCTGGGAATTAAAATACCTATACATATAATAAAAAATATTTTTAAAATATTAACTCATTATGTTAAATATTAGTGATAGTAATGAACTTTCTTTGACGCTTCTTTTAATTAGATAGGTTCTGCTTTTTTGTGTAGTTAGTTCCAGATCTATGACATAGTTACTACGCAATGTCGCAATTTAGACTCACTATGAATAAATACACCTACTATTTAAAATGTCATTGGAAGTTTTTGTGTTTAATAAACGATTTTCTTTTTTATTTGTTACCGGACCGAGGACTAATTAATGTAAATGAATATCTCAGAAGAATAATTATCGTAATGCACGGAAAACTGTTTATAAATGGACTCAAAAATGTAGATTTCAAACAAAAGATCTGACGAAAGTAAATACGTAGATTTTCTAAAAAGGCACGGGATTTAAGAAGACACGTTAAGGAATTTATCCCGTGACCGTAGCTCTGGAAAATCCAGCCCAAGAACTCCTATGCAAACGGGATAAAGAAGAAATAGCACAAAATCTAAAAACTTAATTTCTTAAGAGAAAATAATAAAAAATAATCAGAAAAATATGTTTTATGCAACTTATAAAAAACTAAAGAAAAAAAACAAATATTACAAACCAAAAATCTACATTCCAAAATCAAATCAAACAAAAAATATGATAGAAAATAAAATAAATATAAGGCGTGTTACTCACTTGCGTGTCGGCGGTCGCATTGCCGGCGCCATGTCCGCGCGGCGCCGTGCCTTGGCCAGAGTGACTGCAAACCGCTGCTTTTGACGACATTGGGCGTGAACCGGGAACAAGCCACGCCCAGGATCAAGTCCTCTCAGACTTATTGAGCCTGAAACTAGGGCAGGCTTTACTGAAATCCTAAGGAATATGATTTAAGAACTTTCTTCTTTTTCTAAAAAGTAGTTGTCTAGATTATGTTGAGGTTAAGCGATAAGTAACAACGTTTTTGGAGTTATTATCTCATGTGCTGTAAAAAGTAGACATAAAATAAATAGGTTTTCTAAAATCAATTCAAAAGGCCTGAAAATTGATTTAAATACGGTGATGGCGTAATTAGCACAGAAGTCACTTCTATGACCTAATAAAATACTGGTAGAAACAACTAGGTATACTGTACCTATTACAAGCTACAGTTTTTTTCCTCAGTTCAAGAAAGGTAAGACAGTACTTTCGTACGTTTAATTTTGCTTTACTTTGCTACATATTTTAATACCTCACATCTCATTTTACACCAATCTCCAGTCACATAATAGAGGTATATGAGTATTTCGCAAGAGAAATCGCCTAGAAGTAAATTTACCTTCTACACAATTTATTTAATGAGAGAATACTATTTCAGGCTACAGTGCTACAATAATTCCGTACCGTACCTTAATCACATTTTGCTTCCACACTTATATAATATAGTCATCTTTCTTTTTGTGTGAATTCAATGCAAGTAATCAGTGTTGGGCGGGCCGCCCTGCTTAGCAGAGGGCGGGGATTATATCGCCACGCCTTCCTAGATCGACGCCCACCCATTTCAAACGCGACTTGTCGTTCTATATGAACACTTCTAAGGATTTCACTAAAATATTTTTATATGTTGAACGTTGATAAGAGATATATTTTCTGCTTCATATGTAACTATCTTTATGGCTTCAAACACTGGTTTTGCAATAAAATAGTAACTTATTTGATAGCGATTACGTAAGCTATTTAATTTGTAATAACGTGTAATATTTCAATAGTTCTATTGTGACAAATATACTTAACTCGATACTAACCATTAATAAAGTTATCAAACTGCTAAACTAACTTAAAAACTTAAATATCAGCTAATTAAGGGAAATTTTCTAGAATACACAACTGTGCCTATTTCACCGCGGACGATCCCAAAAATCTTATAGTGTATTCATTACATTTTAATGTGAAACTGGTATACTGTTCTGTGTCTATAAATAGACTACAAACGTATGTACTCACAAACTCATGTGAACTAAAGTAAGAGATAATATGAGTCTCTACTTATCTCTTATATCCGAGACCAAAAAGGTGGACCCTATAGATTATAAAGGTATAATATTTATACACCGTGGTGAATTTTTTCGTTTTCGTCCCGCGGCAATACAAATTGCCATAAGGAGTACTTTCGATGTATAAAGTAAAAATAAAAAAATAACCATGTAATGTTTTAGTTTAAAAAAAATCATGTAAATACGCACATGAAACATGACACGTGTAGGCACAGTTCGCATCGCACGTGTAGGCACAGTTCGCATCGCACGTGCCACCCGACGAGAAATACCTCTTTGAGAATTAGAGGTATATGGCGTGATGTTTTGATAATGTACTATGAGTTCGTATGCGTTTTCGAAGTTTGCTTTTGCAGTGGTTCACTAGTTATTTTTTGTTTTACACTTATTATATCGTTGTAAAACTATTGTATAACAAAGACGAACCATTTTACTTCGGGACGAAAACGAAATAGACTTCACGGTATATTCTGTATCGAGGTAACTTACATAGGTACAATTTGTGTATTCCCTTTATCTTTCCTTTGCGTTGCATTAGAGCGCGTACCACGAGAGCCGTCGGGCTGTGAATTTATTTCGCAAATCAGTGCCAAATGATTTTATTACTTGATAATATTTTTTTTATGGCATGCATGCATAAACGAGCAGGCGGATCACCTGATGGTAAGCAATCGGCGTCGCCAATAGACACCCGGAACACCAGAGGCGTTACAAGTGCATTACCGGCCTTTTGGGGATTAGGAGTTTGAGGATCGTTGGAGATTCAGGGATTGGGGAGATTGGGGAAGGGGAGGGTACCTAGGCCTCCGGTAACCTCACTCACACGACCGCGACGAAACACAACGCAAGCGTTACGTCACGTCGGTTTTCTATGAGGCCGATGAGATATGCGATGATAGATAAAGATGAGAGATGAGAGGTATATTTATATTGGTATATTTCAATGACACTTAATGTTAATTGCTACATTGTAATCACTGTACTGTTTTTCACATAACTCTTAAGTTACTCCGTTATGTTTAAAAAAAACAAACAGGGAGAAGATTATTTCTACAACAATTTACTTTATTACTTGTGAAACGTAGGTAATAAAACAATTAGAAAGTTGTGATCTTTGTAACACAAAGACATTACACTACATGGCATTGTGTTAAGACTATAACTACGACGTACTATTATTACACTGCCCTTTATGGCAAACAACGGTAAAGACTACGGCCCTACGACGTAGTTCGTCGCGTTCGCCTACGCAACTGTATCTACGAATCGTAGCGGACTGCTATAGTCTACGAGACTACGGCGTAGTTCCACTTTCATACAGTGGTAGTACAACGCCTACGCAACCGCGATGGATTTAAGTTTAAGTTTAGGCAAAAGTATTTTTTTTGAAAGTAAAACTTTGGTGGAAATATTTTTCTTTTCAGTTTTGTTTAACAGTCTAAAATAAATAAATGCGATTGAAGTGACATTTAAAACATGTGACTTGATAATTATTATTTTAGCCTAATAGGTAGGGTAGATGCCTAATTGTTATCGTAAGGTCCGTCTGGTAGATTATTTTATATCATTAGACACGTATTTATTTTCTTACAGAAACGAATACTTTCGACGATGTATTGATTTGAAATGTCGCGTGACGTCACTCCTATGTACATTTTATACGTATTAATGACGTTTTAGCCCCCACTCCTGAACTGTGATTCATTTTATCTAAGTATTGTTTTATTATATGACAAAACAAAAAAATACGTGTCCAATTATTTTTTCATTACCTAACTTACGGACTAATTAGATTTTTAATTTTCATACCTTGTCATAATCCCAATTATAATAAATAGGATAATTATTTACAATAATTATTTCCAGATTGTTGTGTAGGTGTCACGAATAGTGAAGCTGTCGAGTAAAGTCAAATCCTTAATGCTCCATGTCCATTATTAGATGTATATTATAAAAGCACGTATTTAATTTTTAGTTCCTTTCCTCCCATTTTTATTCTCTATTTTAGTTTTTTTTAGAGTATAGGTGTACCTGTACATATTTATTTATTTTAGTGTTAACAGCGTGAATGCACCGATATGAGACAATAGAAAACACATTGTGTCTCTGACGCGAGACATACGAAAGATTAAATAATTAATTTTTAATATTTGTTTTGGGTAATTGAGTAATTAACCGTTCACGATTCGTATTTTGATGAATGTTACTAAGATATCGAACAAGTAAGTTAGATACCTACGTGCTTAGTACATTTATATATTAACCTAAGCAAAAATAAATAAGAACATGATTGTGAATTGTGAATGATGACAGCCATGAAAATACGACATATGCTGTGGTACCTACAAAATAGAGTTACGTAAAACTGCCGCTGGCATAGATGATACGTTTGTTTTATTTATTTATTTTGCACCATGGTCGTTCCACTGCATGTCAAAGTCCTTCCACTACCTTCCCTACGCTCCTTCCACTCGTCTCTTCTTATAGTTTTATGATATGTAGTTTTTTTTTTAATTAAACTCTGTAGCTCTTAAGTGATACTTACATTATACCTGATTTACATAGATACTCTTAAGACTTGTGTCAATAACCGCAAAATTCTATCACATAACTTCACGCCTTTTATTCCCGAAGGGGTAGGCAGAGTTGCACATTACGGCACCTAAGGCCACTGTACAATGTGATATTCTTTACAAAATTCTATATTGAATCGAAAAATCACCTATTCTAGATTTAACCGTGATTTTAAGGATTTTGATATTTTTTTAACCTCGGGGCGGTGCTAAAATTCGAATAGGTTTGAAAACGGCCACTTTTTTTAATTTTTTTATTAATTAATTATATATCTCCACAGACTTGTGTCTGTGCCCTTGTTATATTACAGAAAACGGCAACTTATACACGTCAATTAAAATTAAGCACCAGTTAAGACCGCTAAGGACTTTGTGAAGAGGAAGTAGCAATTTTCTTTAATTATTATTTGTATTTATAGCAACTTGGTTTGTGCTAAGTTTTTTTTGTCTCTTAGGTGTATTTCTTTCTTTTGTAGAAAAAAAAGAAATAAAAAACACACAAATCACGCATATCGCGAAACTTAAGTGGGAGTGGGCTGGTCACATTGTAATTGCACGCAAACAGGGTTCGTGGTGCAAAGCCGTGATAGAGTGGAGACCGTGAGGCGAAAAAACGTCTACAAGGAAGACCCCAGATGCGTTGATACGATGACATCAAACGAACAGATGGCACGAAATGGATAGAAATTGCTCAAGACCGAACGAGATGGCAGAAATTGAAGGAGGCCTACACCCTAAGGGTAGTAAAGGGCTAAAGATAAAAGAAGAAGAAGGTTCAGTAAAAACGCGGGTTACTCACGTGAATATACTGAGAAAAGCTCTACTAGTTTAAGAAGAACCCCTCTGTGGTTCGAAACTAGTAGAGCTTTTCTCAGTATATTCACGTGAGTAACCCGCGTTTTTACTTAATTTAGTATGTCTCACGATGAAAAAGGTGTACCTATATTTCCTTCTTTATCTGAAAATCAGGTAACAGTTTTTCTAGATGAGATCATATTTATGTTATTTGTTACTAACGCAGTTAATACAGAATAATAAATAAAACCAAAAATGACCTACCAAATCATTGTTTAGCGTCTTTTACAAGATGGAAGGGAAGAGAAGCGCATGGCGACGGGGTGGGAAATGTCGTGGCTATGAACCTAATATCCGGGAGTGGATCTGTTTCAACTCTATGGAACAACTTTTCCGCCTGGTCAATGACAAAGAAGGACCGGACTGATACCACGGCCTCACAGAAGACTGACGTGAAACAACGTTGTGTAGTGTTTCGTCGTGTGAGTGAGGTTACCGGAGCCCCCCCCCCCCCTTCCCCAATCCCTGAATCCAACAATCCTCAAATTTCTAATCCCAAAAGGCCGGTAACGCACTTGTAACGCCTCTGGTGTTCCATGGGCGACGACGATTGCTTACCATTAGGTGATTCGTCTGCTCGTTTATCGGCTTATCCCATAAAAAAAGAAGGCCAACCACCTGTAATGAAATCTAAAATCTGCCTCAGACTACATTGTTGCGGGTCTGGAGTGTGACATAGTAACACTTGTTTTTGCGTCGATCCGGGATTCGAACCCAACACGTACGCAGCAACCTAGAGTAGCAAGTATCGCGCGCGCCTTCGCCTCCGATACCACGAACAGAAGAAAGTGCGCGTGAATCACAGCAGAGGGCGCCTTGGGCCCTCACCGCCGCAGACCAGAGCAGCCAATAGTAATAGTAGAATGCTGCTCATGAATTTGTGCCTCTAGCATGGCTTGGAACTAGTCGAGTTCATCATCAAACAGTTACGGAAGTGATAAAAATAATCGTTTGAAAACTAAATATTTTTAATATTTAAAGTAAGACTCTTCCCGTCCGAGATATCTATCTGCCGTGTGTGCTTATAAATAAATAAGAAATAAAATATCATAACTAAGTTAAACGTGCAGTTTCAAATTAATTTGTCAGTCCAACACAGTTATCAGAAATATATTGAAATATTTATTTAAATTAGCCTGGAGAACACTATTGTGATAAATTCATAAGTAAACAAAATTATAAGACGAAATATAAGTAATGTGCATTTTATAAAATTAGTCTACATCATTGGTTTCTTTTGTACGATATAAAACTTACCTCATCATTATGACGCGAAAATTTTCGTGGCGCAAGTTTTCATATCAAAATCGCCCTTGTATGTTAACGATACTCATAAAATCCTTAAAATATTTACTAGAATTGCTTTCATATACAAACTTTAAGATATTACTGTCCTTACAAAATAATTAGATAACATTAACATTAACAAAAAGTAGATAATTAATTAACAAGTTAACGTTGTTCAATATTTTCATTAACACGCATTAAATCGATGAGGTCAACAGTTTAAATAAGGAATAGTCGTTATTTATGATTTTGAATAAAAAAAAAATCGATTCAGCCGAAGCTTCGTACCTAATAACAGACACTGGCTGATGCAAAGAGATTCCTTACTTTTTCTTTATTCTACACAAAAATATTTATCATCTTTTAACAAATGGTTGACTGACATTTTTGTACAATTGGCGCAGTACTTAGGTACAGGAGCTGGGTAAATGGCTGCTATGTGAATTAATGATTTTATTATAAGTAGGTATTTATAAACGCACCCATGACATAGGAGAAAACCCTCGTGTGTGGTATTCTTTTACGTCTGTTTGGACAATTTGATCAGGGGAATAAGCCGACTTGACGGAGTCATACCAGGGCCAGTCAAAATACCAGCGTGATAAAACGCTTGTCTCGTGTTTCATCGTGTGAGTAAATTTACCGGAGGCCCAATCCAGAGAGAGAGAGCAGAGAGAGAGGAGTTCCTCTGGGTGTCCATAGATGGGGCGCCGATTGCATTACATCCGGTGATCCGTCGATTCATTTGGCACCCAATCCCCATAGGTATTACCAGAAAAAATTATAACTTATCTCCAAAGAACTGCATAGGTAATTCTATGTATGAATAGACCATAACGGACGAAACGACGACGGATGAAAAAAAAAGTTATGGTAGATTGGTAGAAATAATATTTCCACTACCACAAAAATATTCTATATGGCAAACATATCTGTTTTGAAGCTGTCAACTCTTGTCGTTGATTGGTTATTGCAATCAAATCATTTTGTGTTGAAGGCCAATCGTAAAGCTACAAGCATTCGTCGGAAAAATGTCTTCGCAAGTGTAGTCTTGTGTTCCTTTCAATAATTTACTACCATTTATTATCCAAACGCAGTTGTACTCGCTGTAATAATAACGGCATAACTTATTTGTGTTTCAATACCTCTGTTTATAAGTGCTGCAGGTACGCCCAAGAATTTACTTTCTCTTTATACATGACAACTATTGCTAACCCAGTGTTTTTTTTATTTTGTAAATAAAAACAAAGATGTAGAATAATAACACACACTTACAAATTAATGGTTACTGGTTACATAGATTAGGAGGAAAAGTGATATTGTTGACGTCGTCACCTTGGGGCATATTGTTTGTATGTCAGCTGATTGTTGAAACATTTGGCGATGAAGAAATAAGAAAGTTGTGTCAAGCAGACTGAGCAGATATTCATATGATATTTTTTGCTTAGATATGGCTGACGAGATGGATCCTTGCGAGTGCCTGTGGAATCATGAGCTGGCGATGCGTCGGCTTATCTCTCTGGTAAGTACCTAAGTCCTTGTAACTACAATGGTCAGCTATAGGCAATAATTATTTAAGTGGGTGGAACCGTGGATCGCGTAACATCCACGTCTACATTTTGCTCATAACATAACACTGCCTTATTGTGCCACTTTTTTGTTTATCAACACATTTTTATTAAATCAATATTTTGGTAACAGTGTTAGTAAACATTCACCCACATATTTGACCTACTTTCCTAGGGTTTTAAGAAGTTATTAAAAAAAAAAATATCATTTACATTTGATATTTAATTCTCCCATCATTTGATAATTATTCTCAGTCTGTAAATATTATCGTGACTAACAAGCATAAAATAACTCAATTTATTTACTTTAAGGGTCATAATGCTAAACTTTGTAATGTTTTATAAAATTGATAAGGCTCTTCATTAATATGTAGATATAAACTAGTTGACAATAAATTACATTGTAATTGCATGAGCAACCACAAGTTACACGATCAATTAACTATATACAATTAATATAAGTATTAATTTGTATTGTTTTTTTATTATTATTATCATGTGGGTCAATAATATTTAATTCAGTTTTTAAACAAATGCTGTTAAACCTCTTGAATACTCCGGACTATATAGAAAACTATTCAAATCATTTCTGCCCTTACCGCAAACTTTTGGGGTAAGCACAATGTCTTCTTTTTCCATTCTCCCCTTTCAGATGTCATCCTGTGTCACACAGTCCTATCTCTTTTATGATTCTTTACCTTATAGTCTATCTGTACTCTTTCTATAATGTGACTGATATTACCTCAATTTTATTTATCATAACCAAAACAATAACAATAAAAAAACCCAAGAGAAAAGTTATACACCTATAATAATTATTATAGAACAACATCAATACACTATGTATGCAATCAATGCATCATTACACCTCTGTATATTTAGGGAAAAATAACTTGTTAACCACCGCATAGGTCACCTGTGATCTACGTTAGCAGAGGCATTAGTACAAGTTTAATTCACGTAAAGTAATCGAAACAAGTACGCGTTCGGCGCTGTGATTGGCCGGCTGCAATGGACTAACCAATCGGAGCTCCGAAGGCAGTCTCGTTTCGATTACTTTTAACGTAAAACATACTCGTACTAAGGCCTCAGAGGATTAGCCTTCATCAGTTTTCTGTCGGCAGTCGAAGGCTTAAAGCGCTTATTGATCAGTATTTTTCTACATTGGCAATTTCTAGGAAATTGTGTTGATACATAATATTATCAGTTTAATGTTCATACTAATGAAACTCACTAGGTAATGTGTTAAACAAAATAAATTATATTGGTATTAACATACAATAATGTACACTTTCGAACACTAATGTTATCATTATGGCCCCAACCTCTTGGATGACAGGCTTTTATTTAGTTTAATTTGACCGATGATGACTCGATTTATGTTACTTAAACTATATCTACTACTTATAATTTGGCGGATTGAAACAATGAAAGATATTGTGTGTACTTAGAATATATTATATGATTGACATTGACTGACACAATGATAGAGGAAATATAAAACATTTGCTATATTTTCCTTCCTTGTTAACAGCTTACCATGTCACATGCTAATGGATAATTTTCGAAAGTGAGCTCCAGAGGTGAGCCTGGTGTATAAATTTTAGAGCTTCCCATTGTCACCATGCTTGAGAGACAGTTTCAGTGATAGATTTATTTTAAGACTGGTTTCGATCCTTTAGTCAAGTTTGACTAATTTGTTCAACTCTGACAACTCTTTTTTGGATTCACATAAAAATATTATATTGATAAACAAACTACCAATTCCACTAATGTCTTAACGTGAGTAAAAAGTTTCGATCTGTTTTGAAAACAACAGAAGTAGGTATGTTGCAAACATCCTTCTTGGTTGATGTAGACTTATTGACTCGTTGCACATCAATGATTTTATGCTATTAATTCAAGAGCTTAAAAAGCAGTATGGCAGCTAATCCTGTTTACACCGGTAACCGACTGTAAGCACGGGCCTGCGGAAGGCGAGCACGGGTGACTCGCCGCCCGAGCAGAGCCAGACCCGAGCGTATGCCGCGTCGTGTTCCGCGCGCGCCTCAAGGAGCCATCAGATCACCACAAATGGGGCCCAATAGAGCTGATGCCGATACGGAGCCGTGGAGGGCTTAACTGGTTGCCGGGGCTCCGTCTCGAAGTGCAGGAGTAGGAACGGGGTGGTTTTAAGTCAGTAAGAGTCTGACACTCCCTGTCGCCTCACCCGGGCGGGAGAAACCATTGGGTGATTTTCTGCCCGCAGAAAAAAAAATCACCGGTAACCGACTTTGACGTCGGATTCACCTTCACCATTTGGCCTTTTTTTTATAAATATTTGCCTAGCTATTTTGGAGAAAAAAATCGTAATTCATTGTAGGATTCTTTATACCTTTCAAATATCTCGGATTTTAAAACTTTGTTTAGTTACAGAGCTGTTAGCCCGTAAATATTCGCAATTATGCCTAACTGGCTCCCTTATCGCGACTGATACGGCAATTAATTCGTAGGTATAATTGAATGCGATATTTTTATTGCCGCCTACATACATCTACTGCGTCATAGTTTTTCGCCGTTGAAATGAAAAAGTTTAATTTAATATATCTAATGGAAATAGTCTTCCACAGTCTATTATAGACGACCATGTTTTTTATAAAAAAAATAGCTGGTAATTCAAATTACTCTGTAAATATGCATAAAAACTGCAAAGTTAAGTGCTACAGCATTATGTCAGATAGCCTAGGACCTACCTAAAAATACTGAAAATTATCTGGCAGCTAATTGAGAGGTCTGCTTATTCAAATTCGTACCTAATTATGTTATTCGTTCAGCTTCCCTCCCCGGCACGAACGAAGGCCAAAACTTTCTAGGCAGAGAAGTTCGTGTATGAAGTATTTCTAGTTGATCTTAGCTTCATTGATCCACCTCTAAAACGTTAGATGTAAAGAGGTGGGATGACAAAGGTATAATTATATCTATTCCGAGCCAGACGTCATACCCATAACTGTCCGGTGAACAATATTTACAAGCAACACGGCAGATGCGGTGACACGTGAATCAAAAGCACGTGTTTGATATTCCAAGTTTTCAAACAATGCTATTGTCTCATCTACATTGTAGATATTCTTGGTGAAGCCATGATTCATTTACTTCAACTAAATAATTAATTTTCCGTCTGCGATTCCGGGTCGGGCAAAGTATAAATTAGGGTTTTCAAAATAAAAATTCTCAGTAGTAGCACGGAGTCTGGAATTGTGTCCGGTATAATATGTCAATAGGCCATCCTCTATTACATGGGACTCATAACATAAATAGTGAAAAGCGGGTCTTACATTGTACAGTACAATTGGTCGACCTCGGCTCTTTGGGGATAAAAGGCGTTATGTTATGGAGAAACAATCTAAAGCGATGGTAATGAGTTGGGTGCTTCATTATTGAGAGCGATATATTTAGCAGTGCCGTGATAACGTGATTACGTGACAGATAAGATTGTTTAGCGATATGTTCTAGTTCTAGCACGCATACAACCTACAAGTGGGTACTTCTCGCTGTTAAGTACCCTCTCGCTAATGTGTTATCGGTTTTCATTTCAGTTGTGTAAATAAAATGCTAAAACTAATTTTTTTATGCATACATACGTACCTACTCATGTCTTCTTCGTATTGTATTGTACCGCCGACAAAACACTGATATGATAAGAGTATGGATAAGAAACAACTAGGGAAAAATCGTGCCTACATAAACTTCACTTGGTCACCTGTAATGGCGGATAGAACTAGGGATGTAACTTTTAAAACTGTAGAAATATCGATATTTTAGAATTGGTTTTAATTGACTTATCAATAAAATATCATTATTTTATGATTCATCTGGATTTAATTTTTATCTAGCTGCTAAACATTACCAACATATTAGCGAAATATATTTAGTAGTTGCTGCGTGCACTGTCACTCCAGTCGATCGTGCCTATACATTCACATCATAACTTTCACGATACTTATGTATCGAAATTCATGAAAAGGATTTTCCATCAACTGGTCAATATTTATATACTTAAGGTTAAGTAATTTTTGAGGGTTGAAAAATAAAACTGTATCAAAGTATTCATAAAATCAAGATTTATAATATACAATATCTTCGTATTTTTCGTAGTGTTTCCCTGTAATGTAATCTGCAAAACCATCTTTCGAGAAGACTCCAGAACTGGTTCCAAGTTCATTTTCATGCACATATCTGGCTAGAGGCTGCAACATAAATAGTATAATTTAACTTACTTGATCCAATTGAACATAGATTTTTCTATAGATTCTATAGGTACTGTACTAAGCTCTGAACGAAAATGTTTGTACATTACAATGATAGTGATAGATAGCGGAGGAAAACAGAAACATATAGGTACAAGAACCCGGTTAGTTATGAACTTAATATAAATGTTAAATAAAATGTTAAGTTTGCACCTCTTCAAAAAATGCTTCCAAAACTAATATAACAAAACACATAATGAATCGTTTACATTATGATTTACCAATAGAGCTTGTAGCGATAGGGCCCCATCACGTAGATTTACTATTAATTTATTGTTCGGTTAAAACATTAATCTTCAAAATAAAGTTAACAAACAAAGATATGTTTCCTTCTAGTATCTATATTTCCCACATTAATTATTTCCAGCCAAGAACTTCTGCGTGGTTCAAGCACAAACTAAAAAGAAAATTTATAATATTATTAAAATTATCGGCAGAGTTCGACACATTCTAATAAATACTCTAAAAATACCCTAAAGTTATATTTCATTTGTTTGTTTCATTTGAATCCGTCGAGCGGCATTTGATAAAAAAATCAATTTTGACAAAAATGCATTTCCCACAATATTATTCCTTATCTCATATTGTACAAAAATTATTCTCTATTGTATTAATTATTTATTACATTACGTAGGTATTGACGATGGTGGAATTTTGTCGATAAAATGAAATTTTTGACGAGTACTTAATGTTTTTTGTATTTTGTCATTATGTCAAATTAATGCACTTTATCATTCAGAATTTAGTATAGTTCTTTGTTCTACTTTTGACGCATTTATTATGTACGATAAAATTATCGATACGGGAACAATCATGTACATCACTATTTTTTAATGAAAATTGTTTTAGACGTATTTCAACTAAAATTAATGAAAATAAGCACTGCATTAGTTAGAAAAGTATTGTATTTAGTCAATTTGCAGCAACCACACTTGAATAGTTTGAAAAACAGAGATATTTTAATGAAAAATAACAGTACTTACCGATGTAATGTTACACCTGCCGGTTTAGTAATATTTTTAGTGCTACATCCAATAACACTGCACCCGGGCATAGTTCTTCTCACTAACCAATAATTTCTTTGTTTACCACGCACAAAAACAACAGGAATTCTACAAATTTTCGTAACAAAATATTGTTGACCAATGCTTTGACAGCTGATGTACCACTGACATGCACTGATAACAGGGACTAAGATGGCCAATTCGGCACAACTAGGTTTTTCTGATGACGTCAAAAAATTATGGCCAGAATGACAATAATGTGTTGTCTCTTTCTGCATAAGCAAAGAGACATAAGTAAAAAAGAAACAACAGTATGTTTATGAATTTACCATCAAGATGGATCCTAAATTCTACCCGTAGACAATAGCCAGACATCTATGTTATATTTAAAAATCTATGCGACAAAATGATAACAATAAATTAGACAAGGAGGTGCAAAATATACTTACCTACTTCATTTTAAGTATTATGTTAATAGTTAATGTAGATTAAAAACGGACATAATAAAATCAAATAAATATCCTGTCATTTCCCTAGCACGTGTAGTTGTCAGATTCAATTAATGTGTAATTTTAGTTCGCAAACACCCGTAAATAAATGCGTTGCGCATACGCACCTGTTGTTCTGTTCTGTTGGTGATGAACAAAAGATTCGTTGGGTCACTACCGATAGCGGTTAAACTTAATTTTAAGACAGAAGCCAGTTCTGAAAAAGATCTTCACGAGCTACCCCTGAAATTGGACCTTTTGGTATTTTTTTTTATAACATCACGCCTTTTATCCCCCACTTTTCACTACTTATGTTATGACATGTATGAGTTCCGTGTAATAGGGGGTGAGCCTATTGCCATATACCGGACACATTTCCAGACTCCATACAATACTGAGTTTTTTTTTTCGAAATAACCCAGTAATACTTCGCCTGACCCGGACATCGAACCCTTGGTGTCCCTTGCCAGGCAGTCGCACTTGCGACCACTCCGCTAACGATTGCGAATTTTTTTCTGTTTCAAAAAGGTCTCCTGCGTTCATATCATAGATTGAGGACTTTTAGTTTCTTTCTCCAGTAGAAGGCTCCTTAACATTCGACTATTACGATAATTACCGAAAAGGTGTCACAATCGCAATTTTTTAACGTCGTCATTCTAGTCTAGGGCAAAGGAAATTATTATTTGCATTATGGCCTGAATTCATACACGCTTGCTACAAAGTAGATTAAAAATAAAATAAGGTCATGAATTATGATAATATAATAGCCGTATTTCGTGATAATAGAATACGTATGTTTATAAATATTCAGTGAAGCTATGCGTACTACACTATCCTTAATTAATTTCCTCCGTATTTTATATCTTAACTCGGAATATTATGTTGTTGAACATTTAAGAGACATACAATTTTTCCATAGAACATTCCATTCTTACATTTATAATGAATGTAGGTACGTAATTTGTAATTAAGAACTTATCTTGTCGGGTTAAGAAACATTTAAATAGTTGCACTATAAACCTACATTTTTTAAATAAACCTAGAAAAATTCTATCCAATACTGCCAATAGATAAGAGAAAAAGACACGTATGCTACTTAACGACCATTCCAGCCATACCAAGTAAAAAAACTACTACGAACTACATCAACTATCAACAGACATAATACAATATAAATATTCCATTTTAACCCACAAATATAAACACTTATTTACAAACAAACGAAGGAAATGAATGCCTACATTGACCGTCGAATGATTCTAAAATAATTAGATGTTCATATGACGAATGGTATATACGTACGTACATTTTAATTACTGAGATTGTGTTTTGTGACGTATCGACTATTGTTGTTATGTAAGAATAGGTAATAGATGACCTTGGAATTCGTTTTAAAACTGAAATGTAGATTGTTGACTGACTATTTAGCCTTCGGAATCTCTATTCATAATTATGTCTGATAATATGCGAGTTAAGTTACAAAAAATTCGAGTGGGTAGCGCTTGCGAGTTTAGACAAATACTATATAGGTACCTACTACCTACATGGTCTCGACTTCCCAAGAAAAGCTAGGTATTTACATACAAACTCTTTCAATCGGGTCTACAATGAACTTATTATATGTAGGTATGTGTACAATTCTGCGACCATATGTTTTAAATTTCATTTTTCTTTATTTCTCAGCTCCGTCAAGGTCAGTCATACTGCACAGAAAATGAATGCCTGGACGAGTTCCCGAGTCTACCATCACCGCCGCAGTCGTCTGCAAACAGTTTCATGGTGATGTTCCTCATGATGGCTCTCGCACTTGCCATGTACGCTATGCGCCCGCGCCGCAACCAGATACAAGATTCTGCAAAGCCTTCGCGCAATTCTCAGGTAAGAATTCGTTAAGTTTTTATTTTATACTAGTGACCCGCCCCGGCTTCGCACGGGTGCAATATGCATGTATTATACATACAAACCTTCCTTAAGAATCACTCTATCTATTAAAAAAAACCGCATCAAAATCCGTTGCGTAGTTTTAAAGATCTAAGCATACATACGGACATACAGCGAAAGCGACTTTGTTTTATACTATGTATTGATGCCAACTCGACCGAATAAACTGGACTTTGATATACAATATAAAAAAGTATTAAATTGAAATGGTTGCCTACTGTGATTATCTCATGATGTGACGAGTCGAAAAATATAAATAAACCGCATCTGTAGCTATGTTAACTCCAAGCGTGATCCTCAGAGGACCTTGAATGTAACTTTGGCGCCCATTGTGGGCATTGTACTAAAGTCATATTGCAGTGTTATTGACAAGAATACTGCACCTGCTGGGTACGTTATGTCATTGTATTAACGAAATAGCGATAAGTTAAAACAATATTTGATTTACATCTCTAAAATATTTTAATCAACTGCGAAATTATGAAAATATTGGAAAATACCAGAAATAAATCGATTTCCGGTAGACTGTAGCGAGATTAATAAATACAAGTTACTTTATAAACCTGGTCGTAATCGAAGGACCTTGGATTATTGTACAGTATGCACTGCCATTATATCCGCTGCCAATGATCCTGACACAGTTAAAATACTCGTTGTTACATAAATATCGAAGTACGTAGGTCACAGGGCAACTTGGTAGTTGACAATATCCTTAATACTCTTTCTTACTTAGGAAATAATTATAATCTAATGAATCTACCAATGAATATTATTAAAACATTTAGCAACAGGCATAAATTGGAGATCAACTAATTAAACTGTAGAACAAAACACAAGAATCAAAAACTACTATAAAGGCTGTACAATAATCCCGCGGATGAAACAGCGAATACTTTACGTCAGGCTAAACTTGAGTTCACCAAAACCAGTTGGAAGCAAAAAAGGAAACATGCATGACCGCAAGATACCTCATATCCAATGATAACCAATATAAGAAATGTTATGCTGTATTATACAAAAAAAACGCTCTTTTGAAACCAGTAAAATCTAGTTCTATTTGCAATCATTATGTAATAGACACAGCAAAAAATAATCCTGTTATGAGATGGACATTTTTTGCGCATCGTGACCACAAACTTAAGACTGTAAACCGAGACTTCCTCTTCTGAATACTTACCTCCTTGTGAAGATTATGCACTTGATACTTGTGTCATTGACCTATTAGCCTTTCAGACTGTAGAACTAAAGTTACAAGTCACTCATATTTGATAAACATAATGTTTGACCCTGAATACCTTAAAAAACCGCAATAATATAATATTATGATTATATATCACGAGGATACAGACGATAAGCCGTTGATATTACTGTTTGGAATGGAAGTTTTAGAATCATTATTTGTATAAAATTTACGTTCACTTATATTCGTACCCAGCCCGAGTATATCCATATTTCCTAGCTGTGAATTGTCGCCAAATGTTGAAGAAATTATTTACGTAAAAAAGAAACTTTTCTTTGTACTCCAATCTTTATCGTACGGCAGCCAGTATTAGATTAGTTGTAGACAACATTAATTATTAACTAGGAATCATTTACCCGTTCTTAATTAAACACAAAGTTTAAATATATCTGCAACTTTTGGTGTCTGACCTTTTAAGATGGTAATTACTTTGTAAAACTTGATTATAAAGTTACGATCGTGATTTTTGAACACGTTTTACTTTTTTCCATTCAATACCAAAATAAAATGTCATGTTTATAAATGTTTGTTTACACGTAAGTTTTTACGTCTAGACTTAGGCTATCTGCATTGTGGTAACCGTATTATTGTCTAGGAGAGTGCCTATACTTATTTCCCCGTATTTGTCCTCAGGATCATGACGGAGCACCTCCAACGCCTCCAAGAATATAAACTGAAGAGGTTTGTAAAGGGATCACGCTAACAATGAATTCCAGTAATTGTATTATATAGTAAATTGTACCGCACCAAGTTGTGGACACAAGAACGTCATCACAACTAATGTGTAGATGAGTAAGATCTTGTATAGGTATTATGTACTGATAAGTTTATAATATAAACGATTGGAAGTTTCGAAAATGTATAACGATTCATTTCGCTGTTGCTGCCTTGCCTTTGAAATTTAACCTAGAATAGGCGTCACAATAAGATCTTTGAAGTATGATGGTTATAATGGTTCGGTCTCCGTTTACTGTTTCTTTTTTCTCGCTATTTATCATCTGGTGCTATATTGTTTCATCTATTTATTTAGACCAATAATATATGAGTATTATAACAGATGTTTCATTGTTCATTCAGTTTGATAATAATATGAAATAAATATATTTATAAATATTTTGCACATAATGCACATGTTTATTGCACTACATGAAAATAATTACACATTACGCAAGTGCAATAATATTATCATAATTATCTGAATCTGCAATCTAGATCTGATTTTTGAAGTATTACAATGAAGCGATGGTGAATATGGTCACGTTTTTACTGACGTAACGCGACGAAGTACGGAATCGATTGAAAGCAAAGACATTTATAGCTTGAATTTGTAATCAAATGTCGTTTTGCAATTGCAGTTATACATAGTGCAGTACGTTGCTATTGTACTGCCAGTTATATAATAACGTTGTTGTTTTGAGAATGTCACGCGGGCAACAAGGAAAATTTATGTCAAAAGGGTTCATTTTACGAGATTGTGAACAGCTCAATAAATGAGATGATTAAAACGTCTCTCTAATCGTGATGAGCAAGTCTCTACATAGTTTGCCTTGCCAGTACTGCAAATCCAAATTTGCAATTATACTTTATTTAATTTTTGCTTGATTAGTAATTACACTTAAAAAGTGAGATGAGAAAAATAAAATATAAGTATTATAAGTACTAATTGTACATTATATAATTATGAAATTAGTTTTGCCGAAAAATTGTTTAGTTATTTTTTATTTTTCTGGTCCAACTTGCATTATTATTCCACTAGGTTTAGTTCAACTTGGGTTGGGTTATATTTACAACCATTTTTCATTTTGTGAGTTATTATGTACACGTTATGTATTTTTTTATTATGACAAAACCGATCGAGATTATATCTATCCAGATAATAAAGATAATTGTAAAATATCAATTGTTTTATTTCCTGCAGTAGCCTCCTTTATGGTTTTCGAATCTGAACTGTGGAATTTATGATGCATTATAGATTTTGTGTCGCATTTTAGCGATTACTAAAATCATAAATCTCTTGAGTGCCGTATGAGACACAATAGAAGATTCATAGTCTTGCGTAGATGTCGCGGAGAACCTAACGGGTAACCGGGGCTCCGGCTCGACGTGCAGGAGAAGGAACGGGGTGGTTTTTAGTCAGCAAGAGTCTGACACTCCCTCCCGCCTCACCCAGGCGGGAGCAGCCATTCGATGATTTTACCCCTAAAAAAAGGCTCGCGTAGATCTTCATTCCAGCATACCACAGGCTAATTAAAATGTTTAATTAGGTACCTAGTATCAAAACAATACATAAATAAAATTAGAAGGTGGAAAATTAATACTGAATCGCATTGTAACTAACGGTGATAATTGCGCGGTATAGTTATACATAATTATATAAACAGCCGGCTTCTTATCGCCGTCTGCACGAGTGCTGAATTCTAAGCCAGACAGAGACAGCACTATTCCTCGTTAACTTACTTAACCCCACAAGCCGTAAAACCTTTCCTAGAAAGTAAACTGTTTTTCGTTACATCATTCCTTCATAAAAATAAACGATTAGCCATCACGAGATATGGAAACACGGCAATATTAAAAAACTGTGTAATGCAATGGAAAATGAACATTGTAAAATGCAAATTATTTTAAAACATGAAAACAGTTGTATATATGTAATACAATATTATTAACACTTGTATATGTTAACACTGCTATACATATATTATGCTAAAACGCACCACTGTCCAGGTAACTGAAATTAACATAATTATTATTAAAATGTAACACATAACAGGACACATACTTTCTAAAATATTGCTCGATATCCAAAAATGAAATTGTCCTAATCTATTGAGTAGTATAAAAATACGTCGGCTCAATTTACAATTACACTAACAATTCCGTACATACTTTGCATTATAAAATGTCAACAGTTTTTGCCCCAGCTGGGGCCTCTGTGCATCATGAGTCCTGTATCCTATCCACTTCATTTTTAACTTTTCTAAGTAATGCACTTATTTTCTTGTACTTTCCTGTCGAGTTGGGTAAATTTTCAAAGTTGATGACGTCACAAATGTCTTTTGCGAACTTATCGTCTGTTGGTAACTTGAGGTACGAGGATGCTATGTTCATGACTGGTGTACCATATTGCGTTTCTTTTACCTGACCAGGTTTCGATTCTGGTGTCGAGGGAACTTCTGAAATACTGTCTTTTTTGTTCACCTCCTCGTCATTGCTTTCTGTGACAGTTGATGTTGAAGGCTCTGATATTGCTTCAAGTCTATTTTCTTCTGTTATTTGGTCACTTGAAGGTTCTTGTGGAGTTTCCTTGTTACTGCTGGCAGGTTGAGTGTTCTTATTATTATTGACACCACTCTCTACACTTGCTTCTTTAGCATCGTCATGATTATTCTGTTTTTCTTCGCCAATACCTGTGTCCATATTTACAGTTTCGTCTATTGTTTTATCCAGCATATTCTCGTCGGTCGTATCCAGTATAGTAATAACAGATGTGTTTAGAGTTGAATCATTTTCTAAAGCACTTAAAAGGAGTCGTTTCTTTTCTTCTAAATCGTCTAATGTGGGGCTGCTGCGTCCACTGCTCTGGGTGTTGGTCTGTAAGAAGGAAGTCAGTTTGCTTTTATGGTTAAAACATACATAGCATAAGTAAGACGATTTTTATTAGAATCGGTATTGTAAGACATTCATAACTGTATACAAACAATCGGCAGTAGGCACAATAACATAATTTTACATAGAACATATTTTTCTCACACGCATGTTTTAATCAATCAAGTACTCTCAAACAACGAAGCATAAAATTGATCTGAATCTGATGACATAACTCACATCCTCCTTCTCACTGCTGACATCAATCTCTGGCACTGGTATGTCTCCGACTTTGAGGACCTCGACCACTTGAAGATCATCCTCTGAACTCTCAGTTTTGTCTTCGGGAGGTGGTGGTGGTGGTAGTAGTGGTGGTGAGTCTGGCGGCGGCGGCGGTGGTGGTGGCGTTGTTGGAGGAGGGGGAGGAGGGGGCGGCGCTTCATCCGGTAATGGAGGGTTGGAAGGAAATTGTGTCACTTCTGTAATTGTAAGACATTTTGTTAGTGGTATGTAGTGTGGATTGAGTGTGTTGCAACAGCAATAAATATACTTATGGCTTAAATTACTAGTATTATGTATAGGCACCAACTCAACGCGTCTATAAAATTATATTATTAATTTGTGGTCAATAAATTATTGAATCTGTTAGTGATCGTGATAAGCCACACTTCTGACTACTTGGGCAATAAAACAAGACACTTAGTTAAGACAACAATTGCTATCATTATACCCTCACAAAGTGTTTAACAGAATCTTCATTTAACTCACCATCTCCACTATCAAGTTCCATCTCTGCCTGCCCCTCGAGCGTGGTGTTAGTGGATGCTGATGGGAAGAACGTGAGTTTCTTGCGCTTGTACGCTTTCATAGCGTTCGGGGCCAGGTACTGAAGCATCGCCATCTTGCTGTCCTGCTCCGACATCGGTGGTAAGCCGAATTGTTGGGACTCCTGAAATTGACATATAATTTTACATTTGTATTTGTATGTTTGTGTAATTTTTAATCTTAGTAAGTATTTATATAAAGAGTTAATTAATACTTTCCTATGATAACGGAACAGTTCGTACTACTGCACGGCTGCCGCGCAACGTGTACCGGGTCCGATTCCCACACGGAGCAATTCATTGAGTGTTCCACAAATTATTGTTTCGGGTCTGGGTGTCATGTGTGTGTATGTAATATTGTTTATTTGTAAAGGCAACCACGACACGGGAGACAATCCTAATGTGGGCAACGTTTTTTTTTTAAAGAGAAAATATCAATTTATTGTAGATGTAAATCATCGACGTCTTATCCAAAGTCGGCGATGCGTAGGTATAGTGTGTATTACCGCTTATAAAGCTCAACCAGAGAGAATACATAACACCTGTGGCTGTAACATTAAGTCTGCCTTTGTACAATGTCAAATAAATAAGAAAGTATTAATAAGTATGTTATATCACACACACATCTTGTTTAACAGGGTAAGCAGAGGTGCACATTTTGGCACTAAACTCGTCGAGTACCGGTTTTGTAGACACAATTATAGAACAATAGGTTGCGGTCACCAGTGACCGCTTGGTATTTGACAGTTTAATGCCGCTGTACAATGTAACACCCACTTTTCACTATTTATGTTATGAGTCCCATGTAATAGGGGGTGAGCCTATTGCCATATACGGGGCACATTTCCAGACTCCGTGCTACTACTGAGATTTAAAAAAATCAGTAATACTTTGCCCGACCCGGGAACCACGACCACTCGGCCAACGAGGCAGTCTTGTCCCTTTATACACGTCTACTGACCTCGATGTACCGTGAGCTGGCGGGTACATTAAACCCAGGGAAGTCCAATATCTTCTTGATGTCAAATTTGTCCTTGCTGCCAGGTTCAGCCACCTCGCCCTCTTCCTCTTCTGGGTCCTGTATAGCATTACCCTGGAAGTAACGAAAGAAGGAGATGTATTTTGTCTACAAATTAAGATAAAGGAGTGAGTTTATGCATGATATATATATGATAATTTTTATTTTAATGTCCGTCTGGAAAATTATTTTTAAAAACGTATTTTTTATTTTCTTACGGAAACGAATACTTTCGACGATATATTGGTTTGAAACATCGCATGACGTCACTTTTATGTACACGTTCACTCATTTGATTCGTTTGATTCAAGTATTGTTTTCTTATATGACAAAATAAAAAAATTCGTGTCTAATAATTTTTCATTATCTAACTGATGGACTAATTAGATTTTTAATTGTCATATCCTCTCATCATCCCTATTATTTAAAATTTCTAGGGTGCCAAATTACAAAGGAGCATCGCGATCCACGAAACGCGTGTGCTCAAAGAGTAGTGGCGGTGCCAAAAAAAAGTTCTCGCCTAGGACGCTGGCTAGGTATAATCTGCCTCTAGTCACAAGTGCGAGTCCTATTCTCTTCCCAGGAATATTTTATTCATAAATATATCAGTACTCTATTAAAAATATTTACCATTGAATCAAACATGGAGATACCAGAATGTGATATCCGGGCTTCTTCTAACCAGCCAGGTGGGTACCCCAGTAACCTCATGCGGTAGATATGCAGCGGTAATTCGTTTCTCTTCAGCCCTAGAGCATGGCGCAATTGTCCTGATATTCTACCGGGTATTAGATGTCCATATTTCTGTTCATCTTCTACATGGTATCGTCTGTAAGAGAAGATGCAAAGATTGTTTTTAATATTTGCATAGTGGTGTGATCAAAGATAAAGTAAGCAAAGAACGTATTTACATAAAAATATCTAAAGGTACAGAATTAGATTACCATCTCATAAAGCCAGTAATCCCTCACACAGCAAACATGACATAAGAGCAGTTTACATCGCTTTTCTGTGAGGCTGTGGTATCACTCCATCCTCCGTAAGTCCAATGCATGCCGAAGCATAACTCGACCATGTTTAACCCTTTGAGTACTGTCATTATAGACACAATTAAAGAACAATAGGTTGCGGTCACCGGTCCTCGCAGTGTTTAACAGTTTAAGAATTGGCAAAGAGTGGGTGTTATATCAAAAATATGCACCTGTTCCTACCCACATAACAAAGGACATTTTTATAGGTATTATGAAAATGGAAACTTACCCAACTCTAGATGAATTCATAGCCTTTCTCTTCTCTGCTATTCTAGCATGGTCTCTGGGTAGAGTGCAGTCTCTGAGCTGATGGCCACCATCACAATTGAAGCATGTTGGTCCTCTTCTCAATGGCGGAGGTGAAGCTTCCTTCTCAGGAGTATTAGAGATGAGTGTTGTAGCCTGAAATCCAATTAGAAGTCCTATTAAATTCATATTAGATTCCAGTCAAAATCATTTTTTTGTGTAAAATATAAAATATTCATTATACCCTCACAAAGTCATTTATAAAATACATGTTGATTAACTCGTCGAGCACCGTTATTATAGACACAATTATAGAACAATAGGTTGCGGTCACCGGTGACCGCTTGGTGTTTGACAGTTTAAAATATAATTCACTTTATTTTTTATTGTGTTTATTTATTGTGGTTGATGTGATGACGATGACTATTTATTTAACTTTATTTATTGTGCAATTCTTGCTCTGATTATTGCAAGTGTAAATTAGTATTACCGTACTATCAGTAATTACTTCGTATTTTAATAAGATACTGCTGGTGTCTGATCTAAGAATTTAGGATAATAGAATAACCACACGCATTACTCAATGTATGCATTAAGACCTTACCTGTCTGTATCTAGGAACTATATTTGGCCGGTCCACACAGGGGTCTGTGTCTATGAAGAATAAGCTACTTTCTTCTGAGATCTCAGAAGTATTGTTGTGTACTTCACTATCATTCAAGTCCTCAGGCCAGATATCTAGTTCAATGTCAGTTTCAGTGTTCATTCCTTCAGTGACCCCTTCATGAATCTTTATAAGTTTTATCATAAATGCTTTCACCTTATCCTTGTATATACCCGCCATCTTACTATCCTTAAATCGTACTGTCACTAAAGGAGTCCGATTTTCGCAGCCTTCGACGCCTAAGTCGCTGTTACCCGGCGAGTCTATAACTATATCCTCGTTAAATATTGTGGTTTTAGAACCCTCGCTATTTAATTTTTTTACGCTATCCACTTCGTCTTCACCTTTAGAACTAGTATCTTTTGGAGTGCATACGGAATCAATATCTTTTGGAGTATCGTTAATTGATAAGTCAGTCGTATTTTTCCCTCCATTGTGCACTGTCGCTTCCGCTACGATTTTACCGTCTTCGAGAGATTTAACGGCATTATTTACATCTAAACTATTGTCTATTTCAACTTCTTTGTCATCTAAGATAGTGATTGTACTATTTATCGTATCCAAACGATTTATTTTGGGTGTTTTAACCTCATCATCACTACTGAGAACGATGTCCTCATTGTCCAATTCATAAATGATATCATTCACAGCCGCTTTCCTTTTGGCCATGACGATAAGAACAAGTCATCAAGACGTTGTTCTGTTTTTATATGTACGAGTTACTAATGTTTCTTCTCGGAAATTTAGATATTATAACACACACAGCAACACGGATACAGTATTATTTTGACTTTTGATCAAAAGTCAAAATATTATTTTGACTTTGACGAAACGAATGTTGCAGGTTTTAAAAAATATTCGATATCTAGATGAAAATTAGATCTGGTAACCTTGACGGATATTAAAAACCGGTAAATCGGTTTTAGTGAGTATTACGAGAATTTCAGATTCCTATTTCTTCCCAAGACACTTTGTATCAAATTTGAAATAGCTGTCAAAATATAAAAAAAGTACTTTAACAAAAAAACATTTTAGGTTAGAATTCAGATCAACACAAATTCCTAAAATGTCGCTTATTTTTCGTAGACTAGCACGAAACAATCCAAGGAACATAGTTACAGATGCCCAAATACTTGTTATATCGTGTCGCAAGTTGAGCTTAGTCCCATCCTTATACGGTAGGTCCATTCACGTAACCAATTAAGATTTTCTAAATAATGTTATAAAATACTCAATCATCACATAAACCTATTAATTTAGATGGAGACCAAGACCCTGCACCGAAGTTCTTTTCTTCCAACGTTCAAATATTGTTGAAACGATTGACTCGGCCGGACTTCAACAAAGTATTTCGTAAAAGAACAAATCATGGCTTAAGTGTCCTGAAAACGCCATCGTACAAGTTTTTAACCAACGAAGAGCTAGAGCAGGAAATCGCTAAAGCGAATGAAAAAGCTGATAGATTACTTCAAATGCCACCAGTTGTAAAGGTAAAATTATTTTATATTCTGTTTGTAACTAGTTCTTACTTGATTTTTATCAGAATTATCATCGATCCTTTTATAACTTCACACCTTTAATTTCTTAAATAGGGAAAGAAGAGATGGATACGATTAAGATTGTTATCTAGAAATTTGGACATAAAAGCCTGACTTGGCATTGCCAATAGCCGGATATTTATTTGAAAGTTGTCGTTTTATAGTCTAACATGCCTATTTGTCAAAATGGCTGGTGAAAAAAACAAAACAACAAAAACCCAGTAATTTCGTGGAAAACGAATTGTTCTCTCTATAGCATGCAGAGGAAGAACCACATTACTTTTTAGCTTAATATTTTAACTGGTTTTTATGATATCCCTTATTTTGATTTGCATTCTTACCATATTTAAGTATGTCTAATTTATTTGTGTTCAATATTACCAACTTTTCTTAGATACTGAACTTAACAAGTAAATCAAGATTTAGACAGTACCCCATGCACACTGGAGTAGTATCTCTCTTGTGACATCATACTTAAAAATTACCAGACAGGATACCAAAAAATTTGACAAGATCCTAAAAAGCTGGACAGATGGCAACATACATTGTCCATTGAAATAGTTAATACCCACTTCATACTTTAATTTATTATTCTTTATATCTTTCAGATCCAGCAACACATTGAAGATGTGTTATCCAATGACCCAGCTCTGATAGGATATGATACATCAAAGTATATATTTACTGACATTACTTTTGGTGTTGCTAATGAACACAGAATTATTATTGAACGGTAAGCATCTTACTACTAAATCTATGACACATGAATTATACACATATAAAAATAAAAGAGTGTTAGAGAATCTAATCATATTATATAACTGTGACCAACCACAATGAGACAGCTAGCAGAATCCTGTTAAATTTACAAAATACTAAAAACTTCAATCCCGTTTTGCTAAATCAAGTGGATTTTGGCAAAGGCTTTTTCTTATGCGGAGAAGGTTTGAACATTAATCAGATCACTACAGGATATTTGTCTGTCTTATTATTCAATACAGTTGGTGAATTGGCGACAAGGTTTCTTTACACTTCATTTAACTTACGATTGTTTATAATAAAATTACAGTGACCCTGATGGCACTCTTCGTAGCTGTGATCACGATGTCAGAAAAAGATTGAATCAGGTAATTACGAGTACAAGTATCTCTTTTGATTAAATAAATGTGATAATGATAAAGCAGACATGGACATGTTCCACTTTGGGTACCAAAAAAGGTACCCGCCTCTAAAGACACTCTGTATGTTTACATTTGTTTAACACGTTAAACGCCATGGGAGTTACCGGTGACCAACATTAGTGGAGGATTTACCTGGCAGTCAATACTTAATCATTCTCTGAGTAAAAATAGTAATGTAATATTTCATTTCAGGCATATTTCCCTCTGAATGGTCGCAAACTACGTGAGCCATCGATGTTTGCGGACATAGAAAAACTGAACAGCTTACTGGACAGAGAGAAGTATGAGTTTGTGCTGGACCGTGCCTGTGTGCAGTATGAACCTGATGAGCCGTCCTACCATCGAGTCACCAGCATTACCTACCAACATGTTGATAGCAAGAGCAAGTATGAGCTGCTGAGGTGAGGTTTAATTTTTTTATGTATTTTCTTTTATGAATTAGGTGTAATTGTTTTAAATATGTATAAAAGACCTGTCTTTCACAAATAAAACGAATTAGGAGTATCGGCGTAAGAATATTACGTATTTTATTTGTATAGTACGACATATAAAATAAATGTAATACCCCATTTGTAAATGGTATTATTAATCTTCTGTGACTGTAATATTTTTTGTATTTCTTTTCTAGATCAACTCGCCATTTCGGTCCAATGACCTTCTACCTAACTTGGCACAAAAGCATGGACAATTTGATGCTGGAGCTGATCCAGGGTGGGGCGGTCAGGGAGGCAGTACTTCTGAGTGCATTGAGGCAGGACATACACGGCGATGTTGCTAATGGAGACGTAGCAAGGACCTTAGCTCAGCAAGTGAGTAAATTATGTAGCCGGCACGAATGGGCCGGCTTCACAGAAAACCGACGTGAAACAACGCTTGCATTGTGTTTCGTCGTGTTAGTGAGGTTACCGGATCCCCAATTATCCCACCCTCGAATCCCTGAATACTCACATTCCTAATTCCCATTGATTCTGGTCCCAGGTCGCAATTTTGTGAAACCAGTTAAACATGTATACGATTGAGCAGTTTTCGAGGATAAAACATGTTTTCAGATTTTAGAAATTCCCTATTCCAATGGAATGGGTACATAACACAAAATTATACTAAAGGTGTATTACATTTGTGTGTGGGAGTTAACGGCACCCTTTTTTCCTGCTTACCCTAAGGGAATTACAATTGTCTCTTTCCTGCATTAAATGTTCAGTGTCCAGTTTTGGTACGATAGTTTTATTTACACATATTTTCACAGATCTTACCCACTCCAGTGCAAATGACGAAACCAGAGAGGCTTACAGAAGAAGACATTCAGCTGGACAGCAAGTGTGTTGAATGTATAGAGAAGTACATTACTGGTACTTCCAGCATGAAGAGCCAACAGGAACTGGCCTTGCAGGGCTTCAGGGAATACTACCAGCAGCTGATCGAACTCAGCAGGGGCTTGAAGAAGGCGCACGGCAAACAATAAGCAATTATCTATGTAGCGTTGTAATTATGTAATTAAAATATTAGTTAAGTTTGAATCTGGGTTTTATTTGAGGATTTTGGCAGTAGGTTGTAGTTGTTCCCTGTTTAAAAGGTAAAGGTCTAGGTTTTTCAAATGAGAAAAGCCTAGAACCAGACTAGTTGCTCCAGATCTAGAATCGCCGATATTTTATACCGCTACCTTTAATCTTTTATCGAGTTTCTATTACGAACTCAAGGTCCTTGAAAAAGTTTATAGCTAGGCATCTTATTGTGGCGGCTTTGCCACGTAAAATATTAATTGTCGTGTTTGATATTACATGGCTTGACATTTTGATTGTCACAACAAATCGTCACTTTATAAAGTATTTACCTATTTACTATTTGTATATGGTGTTTTGAATAATGCCATTTTACCACAAACCGAGAGAGTTTACACCGCTTTTGATAGCGGCGCACAAGAAATCTATAAAGAATGGTCTTCGACACGCTATTTTTACGTCGAGAGGTGATCATTATGTCGGCGATTGGAAGAACGATCTAAAGGAAGGTATCTTACTAATATAATAATACTTACGACAGTTTTTATGTTTGTTAGTTTATTATTTAACTAGGTGTTACCCGCGACTTCGTTAGCGTGGAATTGTGATTCACAGCTCCTCCCCCGTACATGATAGCGTGGTAATATGTAGCTATATGTAAGTAGAATAGTTTCAAGCCATGCTAGAGGCTCATATTCATGAGCAGCATTTTGCGACCCGCGACGCGGCGACTGTCGCGCTTGCACTTTTCACTTTCATGACATTACTTTGATAACCGGATCAAATACATAGATAGAGGCATACTTACTCGACTAAGCTGTGGTTCCTAAGTAGATACCTATAGCCTGGTCCCTGGCATGAGGCCGTAAAAAAGGGGTGTCTAACAAAGACTTTATATCAATTAAAAACCTGACGAGTTTTGTTTTACCTGTTCTGACCTGACCACATTGCGTTCCGCAGGTAAAGGCAGATTCTTGACTGTAGGCGGAAAGTTGTATGAAGGCGACTGGTTCCAAGGTTGTCGGTGAGTGGTACCTGTATGTCAATTTAATAATAAAGGGAAATTATTATTAAAATCTCTTCCTCTATTATTAAAAAACATATATACTTACATTGAAAGTTCTCCATAAAGTACAATTTTAAAAATTTCTTAAAAAAATAAAAAATATTGAAATACGAGCGGACTAGTAGCGGGGGCATGGTCCAAGCTACCGGTTTACATTCCTATATTATTAGTTTGAGGCAAGGTCCATCCAAGACTGTAGCTAGGTATCCCTAAAAAAGCTACCAACTTTCAAATTACGCTTCTATGGAATATTGGGCGCGGTGCAAGTGCAACAATACCACATAGGTATGTACATCTTATCCTACAGACATGGCTTCGGCCTGCTCAGCCAACGGCAGCCAAATGGTACGTTTAAACTGGTATACCGTGGCGAGTGGGCTCGCGGCTACCCTGATGGCTCCGGCTGGATGTATTATGAGGACGGAGCCACGTACATGGGGTTCTTCAAGCGAGGAATGAAGCACGGATACGGGAACATGTGGTACGCAGACGGAACTTTCTACGGTGGTTACTATCACAAAGATAAGAGACAAGGGATTGGTTTATTTTTGCAAGGTAAGGATTTTGTACCTAATTGTAGGTAGGTACATACATCACCAACTGTGACAGTCCTTTAGAGGTCGAAGTTTACAAGGTTCACTGTTCACTCTACTGCCCGGTCTCTGTTAAACGTATAGTCAGCAGGCTCTTACAACAATCTGGGCAAGAATAGGTGTTACTACAAAAAATGTGTTTCTGCGGACTTTGTTCACCCTAGGCAGAAAGACATCTAGTTTTCTTTAAGCCGAATCCCGAAGGTCGATACCCAAGTGTAAAGACTATACTTGACACAGGTACCTAAATAAGTGTGAAAAATGATTGACTGCCTCTGCTCTGCAC